AGCTTTAGCTCTAACCAAACAGATCTTCCCAAACGCCAGTGTTGTATGACTGAGTTAAGCAACAAAGCATGACAGTACAAAGTTAAAACAATTAAACCCCCAAGACAAAATTATGGATGCACACACAAAACCATAAACCCTCAAAACACAATCTACAGCAGCCAAGACCTGTCTATGGTGTGAGCCCACAGAGGACTCCAGATGATACCTGCTGGTGTATCTGGCTCTAAAGCCTGCCTGAAGTTACGCTGGCAGAGATATCACCTTGTCAAAAATTGCCATACAGCCAGTAGGACCAATACTTTCCAGATAACACCTAGAAAACCCTTGGGTGATGCTGCCATACCTTTTGCTACTCAAACAATTAAGGAAGCCAGTTGCGCAAATTCAGTGTCATAGTACAGTTTTCTTCTTTCAACATTAACAACATATTCTCCAGTCCAAATCTGAAGACGGCACTCTTGGTGTTCTAGCCACTGACATCTGTGCAGTGGGCATGACAGTCTGACTTCTGGTCTCAACTGACAGATACAATACCACCTACCTCTCAAGTACTGTTACAACAGTTCATGGCACAATTCTGGGAAACACAAAAGTGCTCAGTAACTGTTACTTTTTCATATTGTAACTAGCAAAGTTAACTACAGAGGAGACAGACTTGTTGTCAATGCAGCAGGCGCTTCTAAAGAGCTTCTAAAGAGCTCTGTGAGAGAGTCCAGTTCAAAACATAGCAGTCAGAATTCTAAGATGATACTAATGGGGTGAGTGCTCATTAGAACATGAAAGTTCAGGTACATACACTTGTATCCTTTTACTTCAGCTTCATGAGAAACATGGGTTGCTTAAAAACAAGCAATAAGGGGTGACGGAATGGCTCAAGTGGTAGAGCGCCTGCCTAGTAAGTGTGAAGCCCTGAGTTCAAGCCCCAGTACCGCAAAAACAAGACAAAACAAAAAAAGTAGTAATTTCTAAAGGTTGAACTCAGAAGAAACAAAACAAAAAAACCTGAAAAATTACTGTTGAGCCACTGGAAATTGAGCTCACTATGAGGCACCATAAAGTGGTCTATCTACTTTGCAGCTGTCAATATCAACTAGACGCATGCACACCCCAAACTCGTGGTACACACACGACTGAAAGGCAGACAGGTGCTCAGGGGCACTTACTGTGATGTTCATGGAGCAACATTCTTAACAGTCCCAAGCGGGAAAGCATCCAAATCTCCACCAACAGCAGAAGGCGTGCTCACGAACGGAACATTATACAGCAATGACAATGAAGTACAATTACATGAACGACAATTAATCTCACTCACAAGTCAAATGACGAACACAGTAAATCATACATGAAGCATTACGTAGGTGCTGATACTTCATTATGTATGAAGTACATAAACAATCTGACCCAATCTGCAGCCAGCACAGGAGGTGAAGTGACTGACAAGGGCCTACTTGGTGGATTTCTGGGCTGCTGTTTTCTTGTTCAGATACTGGTTAAATAGTGTGTCCACTTTGTGAAAAGCCACTGAGCTGCTCACTCAGTGTTCAACTCAGTGTTGGTGTGCTTATTATGCTTCACTAAAAAGTTATGGCCCAAGACGTTGCTTGTTCATTGCCCTCACTCTTCTGTGGCGGAGCTGAGAGCTTCAGTGTGAGCTGAATGCGTGCTCACGCTCTTCACTGCAGTGCTGTAAACACTGTAGACAAGGAGACTCCTGCCAGCAAATGCTATATTTGAACAGAAGTCCCAGAAGCTGTTTATTATGTGTCCTAAGAAAGAATGAACTACACTTAACTGGGGATTAAATAATTTTGCGTTAAAATACACTTAGTGCACTCTTATAATCTGTCAACCACAAAGCACGGAAATGGTAGAGTGTATGATGATTCTCAGTACTGACCATGTTAAAATATTCCCCCTGAGGAATCTTTTTATACTCAATGTGAGCCATCTACAGGCCAACCTCATTCTGCTCATGCACTCTCATGAGTATGGACATAGAACGCAAGGAGGCTCCTTTGTAAAGAGAGCTAGTGACTCAGGGAAGTCTGACCAAGTAATTATCCTATGCTAAAAAGCCAAAGTCACTTTCCTCAAATCATGCAATCACAACCAATGAGAGACCAGGTTAGGAAGAGTGGAGGTGCAGTGAGGGGAATGTGCTCATCACTGGAATGGGTTTGGGCAACACACTTGAATACCTAGGTGTGGATAAGGGCTACCCAATATTCATTTTTTCTTTGTTAAAACCCTGAGTATAATAAAAATGAAATAAACCTTAACAAGAGAACTTACTTAATTATTGTGATGTATTGTTCATGTACAACCCAAGCAAGAGATTATACTATTAAGTTAAATTTCATTGACCTACTTGGTAGCTAAACTATTAACATTCTAAATGCAGTTAAACTCCATTTTAGATGGAAGCAGAACACTTTGGGGTACACGAATGCTCAATTACCTGTGCTCAACGTGCACAAGACACTGTGACTACAGTAGAGGCACGTGTGTACACCAGTGCTCCTGGCTGGAGGTCGGGCAACACCAAGGTGAGTATGACGATCCCTGTCCTCAAGGAGCCTCAGTCTAGTAGGGAGGAGACATACTAGACTGTGAGCTCCTCGAGGGCAGGAAAAGTGCTTCGGTCATCTGTGCCCCAATGACCAGCACCAGGCTCAACAGCATTTGTGGAAGTGAACTGAATGTGGATTGCAGCTGTCTGTGCCAGCGTGGGGAAATGCAAGAACACAGAGCCACAGAGACTCTTGAGGCTGGCAGCTGTGAAGTCACAGAAAAGCCAGTGCAGGAAAGAAGTCAAGATAGATAGGATGGGCTCTGCAGGTGGAAGACATATCCCAGGTGTACGTGGTGGAGTGTGGGGGAAAGGATTTTGACCTTGATGTGACAAAGGGGTGGAAAGCACTCTCAGGCTCTAAGGAAGGGAGCTGAATGTACCCTGCTAGCCTTTTCCAGGACAAGAAAGGTCACAGAAAGAAAGCCAATGGAAGTTATTCTGAGCAGCAGAGTTACTTTCTTCCAGTGAGGGTCCAAGAAGATGGTCTATGCAGTTAGGCTAGACAGATGGGGAGGAGCAGGTTGAGGAGAAAGTGAGTTGGCTCAGGGGAGAAGGTGACAGCTTTGCTTTTGAAATAACATGATGTCCAGCTGGCCATTCAGAGTGAAGGTTTCAGACTTGTGAGAAAAGAGCAGGCAGGACCAAAGCTAAAGAGGACAGACAGGGACCATTATTGAGCAAGAGAATCAGGAACAGTACTGACAGTACACAAGAGGTAGAGGGCAGAGACCTGCCTAATCCATAGTAAATGGTGGAGGGATAGCAAGTCAGCAACCATCAGCAGGTAAAGTGCTGAAGTAGGCAGGGCAGGGGGGTACTAGACAGGTAGGGTGATGGAAAAGTTTCCAAAAGGTGGGAGATTTCAAGGACAGGATCTATCAAGTTCTAAGGAAAGATCATAAAAGAGTGAAACAATTTTCTGAGCAAAATTTGAAATAAAGCACATTCAAAACTCAGCTTTAACAGTGACAGAATATAATTAAATAACAACAGAATGAATGGAGAGTCTGGAGATTTTCAACTGGAAGAAAATTGAGAAGAGGTAAGAATGGTCTCTGAAGTAGCTGAAGGCCTACACGTGGAAGGCAGTGTAGTACTGTTGTAGGGTGGGGGAGCCAGGCTATTGGGGAAGACTGAGGGGGATCAAGATTAGCTGATCTTTAGAAGTGTAGGTCTTACTGTACTGTAAATGAGGGTGGCCATCTCTGGTGACCCCACTTTCTCCCAAACTGTGGATTCAGCTATCTGGGGCAGGGACATAAACATAGTTGGCAAACACTTCATACTTCTTCTTGAGGGTCCAGACCTGCCTTGAGACTCCTGCAAGGAGCTTCCCTAGCAGGCAGAGCATGTAAAGGTGTGCTGAGTCCTATTGGGGGTTCCAGTCCATTTGGAAGTATTTTTGAAAAAGAACAAAATACATCTAGTAACAAATAAGCAACTCACATAAACTTAGGGAAGTCACCCAGGTGACAGCAGGTGGCACAGCACACACTGAATGATGGTGTTAACTCTTCATGTTGCTTTACAAAAGTATTAGGTCTTAATGTAAATTAGACACTAATTTAATTCAGTTCACCAAGTTTTCATTAGGCAGTTACATGCAGCCCAGGCCTAAGCTCAGCATCGCACTGCACCACAGACATGCCTGGGCACAGTGATGGCCATCAGGAACTCTGAGCTGAGCTGGGAACACAGACAAGCGACCCAAGTCTTTCTAGGCCAGGTGGCAGGCACATTGTGCAGACCTTTCTCTGAGGTAACCATTGCAAATATGGTACCTACATGATCCTCCCTGGGACTGGGAGTTACAAGAGGTCTGGGACCTATCATTGACTGACCCAAAGTGGAAGCCACAAAATGTTACCTGAATAAACAATGGATGTTTTCAATATGACAGCAGAAGTTCTCAAAAGGTGCCAAAGGAGAGGCTATCTCACTGGGCGACAGTGTTGATTAGGGAAGGATCACGAAGGAGGAACATCTGAGCAGGATTCTAGACTGGACAGGAGCTCACTGGGTGGCAAAGGTGGAGAAGGAATGTGGAGTGTGGAAAAGCAGCGAGCTGGGTTAGGAGACTAACCCCCAGTTAGGTACTGTTGGAGCACAAAGTGCCAGGGAGGTGAAGGATTGTATGAGATGAGGTTGGACAGGGAAGCAGGACGAAATGTCAGCCACGCTAAGTCAGAAGCAAGGAGCGGGAGATCTGATCAAAATCAGAACATTAGTGAGATTTTAAGAAACAATTCATGAAAGGCACTAGTAAGGTACAAAGAAAAGCAAATCAAATTTAAAAAGTAACTGTTTGCAGAAGAAAAAAATTCAGCCTTAGACACTGATAAAACCACCTCAGAATGCTACAACTGCTAAGGAGGAGAAGCAGTACAACCTGCCCCCGCCCCGGCCCTCTCCGCCCCACTCCTACCTGAGCTGAGCTTTAAGTTCAGTAAACCTGGGCCGCCTGCTGGGGTCATAGGCCCAACATTTCGTCATAAGGCTGTAGAGGGTAGGAGGACAATTTGGAGGCATTGGTAATCTTTCCCCATTTTCAATTCGACCGATCACATCATTGTTCTTCACTCCTTGAAAAGGCTTCACACCATGCATCAGTATCTCCCACATACATACACCTGTGGAGTGGGAATGAAAACAGAGCAGTGAGCTCAGCACAAGGAGAGTACGGCAGGTTCCAGGACTAGAGAACCATCTGTGAGATCTGGGGCAGCTCATCTAGCCACAGCAGCATTCAGTTAACTCCAGCACAGTGACAACAGCAATCCTTGTATGGTGCGAATAAGGAAGTGCTGAATTATTACCAGGAAAAGGTCCTGAAGTCATCATTTCTGTCAGGGGTTTATTTCTGAAAATGTTATATTACAAAATGGCTCACCAGCTACAGTGACACTTCCTAGTTTGATGAATCAGTGCAAAGAAACCCAAGTGACTTTTAGATCCACCTCCAACTTTGGAATAACATGTTATAACTAGAGTAGCTGACCTGAGTGAGACCTAACAACAAAAACCCTACAGTTTAAGTCTTGGGCTTTAGAAAGCTCCGATTCCTTGCCTAGGTTCATGAAGACATTATTGTTGTAATCATTACCCTCTACCCACTCGCTGCCTTCCCACAGCAAAGTATGGATGGACTTCCTGGGTTGTAGCAATCTTGTCCACAAATGCAACTTGACCTCAGAAGATGCACCTGCACTCTACCCTTGGGAACTCAAACAATGTCCTACCATGTTCTGATGATCCCAAAGTATTCACCTTTCAGATGAACAAACACAACATCCATGATGCTGAGGACAGTGAAATGAAATGCAATGAAAGGGAAACCATGAAGCTGGTGGTAGGGTAGATGGCTTCTCCCAGCATCCTGGCACCAACACTCTGCACTCTGGCCACTCTGGACTTCTGCCTCCTGATGTACCATGGCTCAACTTTGCTGGCATTACACTGTGTGTGCTATGCCCTTTGTAGTTCTTCTATGAAGCACTTCCTGACTTTCTTCTGTGAATTGTCAAGTTTACTTTATCATAAAATTGCAAAAATGCACACTGTACAAATGGTGTCCTAAGGAAAGGAATTGTGTGATTTTGTAGAATGAAATCTGCCTGGAAGGGGGCAAGCTGAATTACATGTTAACAGGAACTACATTTTGAAATCAGACTCAAATCCAGTAATTTCCATAATTTCAAAGAATATTTGGAAAAACATACAAACAAACCAAAATGATGCATTGGTGCTGCTTTCTTCACCAGGAGTCACAATACCATGCTGAGTAATCACACCACCACCACTAGCTCTCACTTCTCCAGAGCTGAATATGTCCCTGGTGCCTTTCTTTCAAATTTACATGCATGACCTTTAATCTACCCCCTCCTCCTTCCCTTTATTTTTTGGCAGAACTGGGGTTTGAACACTTGCCAGGCAGGTGCTCTGTCCTGCTGAGTCACATCCTCAGCCCTGTATTTCTTTAAATGCTGCACTTTACCAAAACAAATACTATGCCACTGATTATAGGAAATGTCATTATTTTATATGACAAAACAGAGGGTGCTGCCAACTTAATTAAGATATAATCCTTTCTTATCAATTAGAGGTTCACATAGAGAAGAGCTCTTTTAAACGTCTGGACATGAATATGAACAAAATCTATAAAGTCCACATGAATGCAGGCAAGTACAACTGCAGAAAAAAAAGTGCCCCTAGGTAATACCAACTACAAAATGCCATTGTCTTTAAGATATTCCCGGTTCTAGACATGTTAATATGTGAAAAAAAAAGGGACATTTTTTAATCTTGGAAATGTGATGTTTCCTTAGAGGATAAGTAACTTGTTTGTGGTTTACACAGGTAGAGGCTTAGATTTGCACCCCCAATTGAGTGGCTCCAGGCCCTTTCTAGTCCTTTCCTTCCTTTCCATAATTACCAATTATGGCACTTTTTAAATCGTTATCAGGAAACAGTAAGAATATTTATTTGGTATACATATAGGTATTTGTATTTGTAGAACAAGTGACATAAATTTAACAGGGTATCTCCTCTCAAGCAGTTTCTACCCTCACAGAGAGAATGTGTATACAAGACTGCTCACAGATCCACACGTGTCCTGTACAGGGAGAAAGTATGGAGAGTATAGGGAAAGATGGCCAGTACCTGTCAGGATACCTGCTACCTGAGGCTTCGTGGAAGAGGAGACCTTTAAACTTAGATGGTCAGCTGGAGTAGAGGGTGTAAGAATAAGGATCAGGTAGAAGGAAAACCACCAAGGAAGGAGGGACAGGAGTGCAATCCATATCAAGAAGAGTAAGTCATTGTATGATGCGGATAAAGTAGTGTACTACATTAGGTAGACGAATTAGAGTCACAACTTTTACACCAGCTGGGAGGTATTACAATAATCCACAGAGCAGCAGCAGGTTGACCTTGGAGCAGTAGGAGGGACAGACCAGACATCAAAGGAGAAGCTACAGAAAACAAATGGTCAGTTCTCAAGTCTCAAGACAAGAAGACTAAGGAGGTAGAGTACAAGTCCAGACCTCTGGGCTGCAGGGGCCACATCAGAGCCAGAAGAACGTAAGTGTTCGCAGGCAGTGAGATGACAAAGGAGGGAGGAGAGAAAGAAGAAACAGACATGACACCACCCTGTGGGGTAAGAAGAGACAGAGGAGGGGATTAGAAGGGAATAGTGAAGGCAGGATGTACGGCAGAAGGAAGGAGCATTACAGAAATGTGCCTGAAGGTTGGTGTGCAGCATTTGCTCTGAAGCTACTTGTGCAGTGACCCAACACAAGTGTGATAAAGGAAAGGGTCAAGTTAGGGAAGGTAAAGTATCTCACATATGCTGAAGAGAGTAAAGCTATTTATTTTGTAGAAATATCATATATAATTTTTAAAAAACAAAACTTAAAAAAATACTCACCAAACATCCACACGTCACTAGCTGAGGTAAAACGTCGAAAATTGATTGACTCTGGAGCCATCCATTTAATAGGTAATTTTCCTTTGGAAGCTAGAAGATTAATTTTATAAAATAAATTTTCCCTTTTATCTGTTTGAGAACCTAACAGAGCTTGCTGAGACTTACAGTATCAAAACGAAAACCTTCAGCTATTTAACTCTTTGGACTTTTGTTTCTTTAGAAGAATAAGTTTTCACACGTCACTGAAGCTTTGAGGTTATTTGGGGTGATGAGGAGTGGGACTGTGGTATGGACATGAAACACTGATGTCCTTCCCAACAGAGTGAGGCGGGGAGCAGGGGGTGCAGAATGAACCCACTTAGCAGTGTCAGTGTGCAGCGCCATTTTGTGAGGTTTCACAATTTACTAGGACAGATTCTTATCTACAGGTTGGGACCCTTGTTCTACAAATGTCCCGGTAGTAATGAATGAACAGTTGGTTCTCACTGGTTCCAAAAATGCTCTATGTTACCACAGATAAAAAACCAGTACTTCTAGGGGAACTGTGTACACAAATAAATGCATCTCATACAGATTATAATCTTAATTCCTAAAACAACTCATAGGTTCTATTTTCTTTAGAAAATGAGGATCAGATCTGTTCAGTGACTTGCCCGAAGATGCCCCACTAACAGGTGCCAGAGGTGGAATTTAAAACCATCCAGCTGGACTCAAGCCAGAGCTGCTGGCTCTGCAATGAGCAGTTCCTCCTGATCCCATCCTCTGGTTGAGACAAGAGGGATTGTGTGCCCTTGTTGGCTTTTGGCTGCAGATGTACATGCCATGTGTAAGTTTTTTAATGCCCTATGCATATCTTTGAATGATTACAAAAGCACTTCAAGTACTGACTTTGGGGGCTACAAACTTTAGCAAACGGGTGAAAGCACAAATCTGGAACCCACATACAGTCAGGACTGACTACATCTCACCATTATGTGCAGGAAGGGGCAAAGGAGTAAAAAAGGATTTCAGGAAAGCCTGAAATCAGCCCTAAAAACTTTTGTTTGTGCCACTGAAACAAGTAATCCACAGTCTCACTAATATTCCTTTCCCTGCTGGGCTTCTAGCATGAGCATCCAGGGAACCTTTACTCAAGAGATTCTCACTCTACCAGGTAGAGACAAAAGCATATTCAAATATGGTACAACGTTTAAGAGAGACACAAAATAGGTACCAAATGCCCAAGGAGTAGACTGCAAACACTGGGGAGGACAGTCTAGGAAGGCTACAGGGAAGAACAAAGAGTGGGCACAGGAATGAACACAGGCTCAAAGGACTGAGTAGGAGTGGCTGGGCCACCCTGAGAGGACTCTGGACTTTATTCTGAAGGAATTTATACATAAGTAGGATCTTTGGGATGATAATATCTTCATGAATTTGTCAACAGTCCATTTTAAACGTTGTTTAAATTATGTGAAACCCTGGCAATCATACTAAGGACTAAATTCTTTATTAGAACTCTAGGACTTGCACAAGCTAAGATTTGAGTTGGATATGAAATGAATTTCAAAAACAAGTGAAAAACTAATTTGGTCTTTTCTCAGTTAAATGACTAACCAATACAAAGAACTGAACAATTTTTCTTTTTATGTATCAAAGAATCATGGTTTAAATAGTTTCAGGCTATAGTATACACAAAGGCTATGGAACGAGAATAGTTACGAGGTGGCATTGTCTACTGGCTGAAGAACCTTAGGCTAACAGCAAGGTTTTTTTTATTTGTCTTTTGCAGTGCTGGGGTTGGGGTAAGGCCTCATGCATAGCAGGCAAACATTGTACCACTGAGATATCCCTCCAGCCCAATTACACTTTTTGGCTATCAAAAATGACACAGCAATAAGAGTTGAATACAGATTTTATAAGGGCACAAATCTTCATTTTTCTGGGATCAATGCCCAGGAATCCAATTACTATGTCCTATGGCAGCTGCATATCTATTTTTAAAAATATTTTTAAAAAGCTAGATACTTCCCAGAGTGGCTCTCCTGGCTTAATCCTCGTCAACAATGTATGAATAACTTAGTGTCTTTGCCAGCATTGTATGTTGTTACTTTTTTTTTTTTTTTTTTTTTTTTGCAATACTGGGGTTTGAACTCAGGGCTTCACACTTGCTAGGCAGAAGGTCTAACACATATGAGTCTGCCTCTGGCCCTTTTTAGCTTTGGTTATTTTGGAAATAGGGTCTTTTTGCCCACTCTCCTGGAACATGGTCCTCCTAGTTTACACTTCCCACTGTACCTGGGGAATAGGTGTGAGCCACTAACCCCTGCTTATTTTTTTAGTCATAGAAATTCTGGTGAGTGTGTAGTGTTAACTCATTGTGGTCTCAATTTGCATTTCCCTAGTGGATAAAGACATTGACCAACCTCATGTGCTCACCTCCATCCATCTATTACTTTTCAGTGAATGCCTGTTTGTATCTGTGCTCTTACTGTAAGTACATTCTATGGGGTTGGGAACAATTTTTTCCTACTCCGTACCTTGTCTTTTCATCCTTTCAAGAATCTTTTGCAGAACAAAAGAAAAGATTAATATGTTCTGACTTTCCAGTTTTTTCATCCTTGTTTTTGGCAGTGGTACTAGGGCTTGAACTTGGACCTTGTGCTTGCTAGAGTACCTGCTCTATCATCTGAGTCATTCTATCAGCTCTTTATCCTGTTTTTGGTGACAAGCCTCAAAACCCTGTGCTGAGCTCTAGGTTACAAAGATTTACAACACTGCTTCTTCTAAAGGTGCTATAGGTGCATGTTTTGTAATTAAATCTGATCCATCTTGAGTTATAGTGGGGAGAGGATTGGGGTGGGGTCACCCCTTCCAGCACCACTTGCTGACAAGGTTATACTTCTTTCACTGAATTGATTCTACACCTCAAGAAAGCACACTGAACATTCCTTTTTAAAAAATGCATCCAAGGCTTGGAGTTTCTTAGTTATCATTCTGGTTTCTTACCTTTATAGTAAGTACTGTCCTCCATGTATCGAGATAATCCAAAGTCTCCTAATTTTACACAATCATTAGAGGACACCAGAACATTCCGAGCAGCAATGTCCCTGATAAAAAATAATTGGGAATAATAAATTTTAGTATAATAAAAACAATCCCACACTCACCTGTATTATATAAAGTTGTACCAACAGGTACTTTGAAAAACAGTTTAGATATAACGAGAACAGATTTACCTGATATGTATTCCTTTGGTACATATCCACTCATGAACACATTGAAAATTACTTTGAATGATGGCAAAATATATTCTCAAGTAATGAAAATGCTTGTCACTTTCATAAAATCTTGTATCATCTGCACTAAACTGATAGCAAAGCATAACTGTGATTGTAACTTTGCTATTACTAAAGGATCTTACTGAATGAAATCAAAGATATCTCCTAAACACTTGTGAAAGACTTTGCAGCTTGGTCAACACTGGAAAATAAAATAGTAACTAACATAATACTTCACAGAAACCATAAAGATTTTAACTTATATTCAAACTACAGAGCTGCAAACTTCAAACAGAAATTGTAAAGAATGCCAATGCATGTCATTCGTAACAAGGTGGAGTCCTGCCAAGCCCCAGGACGGCTATCTTGCTTTGGGGACTATCTCCACACATTTACTGCTCTAGTGACAAGTACAGGCTCTTGATCGTATTCATGGAAGGAACAGATATCACAAAAACATCACAAAAAATCCTTTAGTGACTATAACATGCCACTGCCATTCACTCTGAGAGGACGTAACACAGTATGACTTTCCAAATGACTGCACAATAGACTTAAATGGCACAAAAGTGTCCAGGGGGCACAGTAAGTAATTCTTCCCTCCCTGTTTCCAACCTCCTGCTGCCCTTGCTCGGAAGGCAACTTAGCAGCTTCATGACTGCATCTTACCTGTGTACAAACCTTTTGCTCTCCAGATACGCAAGCGCTGTACTAAGCTGATAGGCATACAGGATCAAAGATGCCAGATCTAAGCTGTACTTCCTCACTTGCAAAAATGACCTCAGCTTTTGGAATGATGGTCAAGACAAAAAAGAGAAATAATCAAAACAGAGAATAGAAATCAACAGTAAGAAAGCCATACTCAACAATGTGAGCATTTCCAAATGCATTTTTAATTATACAAGGACAAGTCTCCTTTAATTAAAAACAGGTTTAACAGATGAAACATTTTTAACTCAGAAATTACAGCTAATCATTATTTGAAATCCTATTGTAAAATTTATGACTATAGACAAATATCTTTCTTTTTTGGCATTACTGGGCTTTGAACTCAGGGCCTCACTCTTGTGAGGCAGGTGCTCTATAACTTGAGTCACTCCGCCAGCTCTTTTACTGTGTGTGTGCTGGGTAATTTTGGGAGGTATTACTTTTTTGCCAGGGCTGGCCTCGAACTGCAATCCTCCTGATTTCTGCCTCCCAAGTAGCTAGGATTTCAGGCGCAAGTTATAGGTGCCAGGCTATAGACAAATTTCTTAAAAAATAAAGATATGCCTCAGGGGAATGAATAAAAGCATAGCATAAAGCACTGATAAGTAGTAATAGTTGGAGAATGAGAAGATGTAGCTGCTGTTCAAACACACACCTGAACGCCCAAACCCAGCTCATTTGCCTGTATTGCAAACCTCACTGCGTCTCAGGCAAGGTGTGAAGATCAATGTGAACAAAGAAGGGTGAAATGGTCACATGAGGGGTGTTCACCCCACTGGACTTACTTAGTCCCGACTATCACTGACACCATTAATTCAGCTACATGCTAACATGGGAAAGAAAGGCACATGAATTTATTAACACCCTAATTCTACCACAAAAGAAAAATTTTAGCAGTAGGTTTTTTTTTGTTGTTGTTGTTTTCTGTTTTGCAGTACTGGGTCTCAACTCAGGGTCTCAAGTTTGCTATGCAAGCACTCTACCACTTGAGCCATTCTGCCAGCCCAGCAATAGTTTTCAAGCTAGAAGAATTAAGTAAACTCTCTAAAAGCAAAAGCAGAAAAAAGCTGTGAACAAGAAGTCTACGCCAACTCTCCATCTGACTGGGCAATGTAGGATGGAGGGAGAAGGTACCACTTAGCTGGTGAAAGCTGACATCTGGGAGCCTCCCCACCAGTGTCTGACTCAGCAGGCTGGGGTGGGGCTCACAGATTTCCATCTTAGCTTACTGGTGGATGACTGGTAAGTTTCTGTGTTCTAGAGAATGTCTGACAGGGCAGTGGATACTCTGTTACTCATATTTTTCAAAGAAACTGTGAGCAAAAGCAGTCTGAAAGTGTCTGAAAGCCACGGCAAATGAATTCTTAAAAAGATTAAGAAATGTTTAGGTTTACAAAAAAAGAAAACACCAAAAAAAGAAATGTTTGTTTACCTAACCTCATCATTAATTTATCCACACTTTCTTTTACCCTCAAATCACTTGGAACCAAAGAGGGGAAAAGAAAACAAACAAAAAAATGCTTGGTCACCTGTTGCCATTATCCTGATAAAACATCTGGATGGGAAAGACACTGCAGCCAGTGCTGGGGGGGTGGGGAGGACACCACTGTTTCTATAAACTTGGATTATAGGTGTGCACCACTGTGCCCAGCTCAATGATGAAGATATTTATACACATATTCTCTAAATCAAATGCACACATAATGCCCAGTGAGACTGCTCTTGAAAATCCATGATGTAAATTACATACTTCTATTTTAAAAGCAAAGGCTATCAAACACCAAGCACAGAGTAAATGATTATGAAGCATGAGACTACTGTCTGTCAAAGGCCCAGACAGGTCTGGATCTCGGTACCTCTCCAAGTGTGCACAGCTCCATGATTATCCAGACAGGATTCTCTGTGATGACTCCAATCAGTTTCACAATATGAGGGTGGTCAAACTGACGCATTGTTACTAGGGAAAAAGTGGTTCCCAGTTACTCATTTGAAAATCCTTTCAGTTCTTCCAAAGACAAGTTCAATGCAGACAGAAAGCAAGGCTAAATGCCATAGAACAATCCTGTCGTAAATGGGCACCAACAGGCATATCCTGCTGCTGGGACGTAAGATAACCACCCCAGCAGACCCACACTGGAGAGAATACAAGGTGTATTAAGGGTCAAGAAAGCCTGTTCTTTCCTTCTTTGGACAAAGTTGACCCTGGGCTAACTTTCCAGATTTTCCTCTGGAAATCTGATAAAGTAGAATTGTGCAATCCATCTAATCAAGCAACATCCCCTATGGTGAAAACCACTTGCAGAAGGGACTACAATTCCCTGGTAGAAAGCCACAGAAAGACACTTCCTTGAGGATGCGGACCTTGGTTAACTAGGCATGTTCCTTGCAAGGGCCCTGGAAGGCATGCTCACAGGGCTATCAAGATGGACTTCTATACTGGACATGAGTGGCTCCTGCATCTACCACTGTGGTCTTGTCCCTCTGCATGGGAAGACTAGCTCTTGGATGGCTGTAAGACATTTGTAAGAGACTGATGCTGTGCTGTATTTTAGCCCTAAACTGCTGTCAGTAAGGTCCAATGTAAAATGTGGTTCGTGGAAGCCACCTGGGCTTGCCTGCCTGCCTGCCTGCCTGACTCACCAGGATCCCAAGGCACTGCACATTAACATGTCTAGGTGAAGCTCATGTTTGTTTATAATTTCTAAGTCACTTTTATCATATGCTAGGACTCAGAAGACACAGAACAACTTCACAGAAAAACACAGGGCTTTAAAAAAACTGGAAGGAACTTTAAGGTGACCTACTCCAGTGGCTCTGAAAACCCCAAGACTTCATAGACTATAACATGAAAAACAGCTTACTATGATGCCAAGTTAGGACATTACTATAAAAACAGAAGTAATTTTTAAAAATATTGCCAACATATAATGTCACCAACATGTTATGAAATAACTGACAATGTAAATATTGTTAGGAAAGATTGTATAAGACTTTGAACCGAGCCAGAAAATATTAGTGTGGATTCTGCCTAGGTCATTCACATATTTTACTACTCCTAAGTTATGGAAAACTGATAATATATACTTAATTCTTGTCCATAAAAATGTAACTTAGTTGCTTATGGGAAAATAAAATCCACCTTGGAATTCCTATTCCCTATACTCGTATACCTTTTAGGATTTTTGCTGATTTCCTTATTCAATAAGTCATGTGCCTTTTTGTACCCACTTATGAGCAGGTCTGCTCTATGGCCTTGAACACAGGGCTAACCTCATTCTTTAACTGAACTACTGCTCAGATGTTTTTTGAGACAGGGTCTCAATATGTAGCCCAGAATGGGATCTCCTACTTCTAGCCCAGGAGTGCCAGGATTATAGGTGTGCACCATGGTTCCTCACTAATTAATGATTTCATTACCTTCCACTCAATTTTTCCTATCTACTTTGTTTGGAAAAAAATATTTATGATCACATCCAAGGGACAGTCCATTAAAACCCCAAAGCCTACACTCATATTCCTCTGGAGTCTTCTCTAGACTAAACAGCCAACTGTCCGTCAGAGGAGGTGTTCTTAGCTCTGTCAAGAGAGTCACTGAAGTGTATAGCCACCATGGCTAGCAATGTCCAGGAGGTCCTATTAGTTTCCTGCACAGTTGCCTCACCTTCATTTGACATAAATCCCTAATGTTTGTGGGGATTTCCCCCACATACTGTTAGAATAGGAACTACTAGTTTTTGTTTTTACATAAAATACATACTCCAAAGTGTGCCATCAAATTTCACCTTGTCAGGTTCATGTCATTTGCTTAAGTAGGCTTATTTTTGGATAAATATTCTGGCACCCAGTGTATTTAGTCTTATTTTCAATTTACTGCTAGTGACTATTTACTGCCACTTCTGGTTTTATGTGATCCTCACATATGGCACTTAAGACTTTTATATTTGTTCTGAAATAATTACAGCAAATACTACCCAGCACAAGACGAAGAGCAAGAGTTTGTGGCCTTTGGAAGCTCTGTAAATGCTGAGCCAATAACCCAAGGAGAAGCTCAGACTAATCTTTAACTACAAGGTTGCTACCTAATTTACAAGCGAAGTCTTACTGAACCTAGTCTTGCTCATCCCTTTATACACTGTCTATGGATGCCTTCCCCATGGCAGAGATGGATATTCGGGACAGAGACTGCATGGTCTAAAGAGCCAGATATTTATTTTCTGGCCTTTACAGGGGAGTTTAGCAACCCCTCAGCTAAGTCAGGTTTCCTGTCTTACGTGCTGCTTGTTAAAGCCTTGCATAAGTTCAACTACTACACCTGCACACTTCCTCAAGTAGCAGTTGAGTAATCCTATCAAAGAAGAAAACCAGGCCAGTCTGACATGATTACTCCAAGAAAATGATACAAGTGGGCTAGGGACATGGCTCAAGTAACAGAACCCATGCCTGGCAATCGTGGGATCCTGGCTTCAATCCCCAGCATTACCAAACTAAATACATACATAAATAAGTTAGTTAACCAAAACTATACAAACGGTTTCTTTAACAATGTCCTATAAAAACACAATCGACTATTCAACCATTTTTAAAATTTGTGATTTTGAAAATATATTATGCACAAGAATCCCACCAAAGATAAGGTAGACAGAATGCTAGGTACTGATGACTGATGTGTTCTGTTTCCTTGGCCTGGGCACTCTGTACAAATGAAAGAGTTGAGACAGAAGCCACTGGCAAAACCACAAAGGGAAAGCCTCTCCTCTACCCTCACACTACAAACACCACATTTACCTAAGAAAAATGTATGCATGTGCCTGTTCAAATGCAGACATTAATTTGCAAGGTAAAAATTATATTGAGTTCCACAGAAATTCTAGAAACTTACAGGCTTCTTGAAGGAATTTCTCTCTCACGCTGTCTGAAGTACAGTTCTTACATGTTTTAATTGCAACTGCCAAAGCTGGATTCTCCTGTTAGGGAAATTATAGAATCACACACACATGCAAAAAAGTTCTTGATATTAGTCAATAGGCACATTCATGAAAAGCTGTTCGTTTTGCGACTATGTGGATTCTGGATCAGACAGAATTAGAACTACAAAATCTTAACGAATAAGAGATACATAAAGATGTGCTACATAAAATCCCCAGAGAAAAATGGACATGCATGTGAAATTACAAATGTTCAGAGTACCTGCTCAGACCCCACTCAGAACAGCCTAGAACAGTACCCAGGATACAAGTGAACAACAGAAGCAGTGGTCCCTGCTCTTGTCCAGTAAAGTCAGTTTCTTAATGCGTTAGAAGAATAATGCTATGGGAGACAGAGAAGTAGAACAGGATATGGGAGACCTCACTTGGTAGATGGTATGAAAGTGTCAAGAAAAGGACACCACCCATGCTTAACCATGTGGCCCAGGATGGGGTGTGTGTGAGCCAGTGAAGCTGAAGCAGAATGCATGGGGGTGGGAACGATGGCATGAGAGGAATGGAGGAGCCATACCAAATGGGGCCTTCCAGGCCAAAACAAAGGCATAGCTAATACTCCAAGTGGAATGGGGAGTCAGGGTGTGGCCTGGTCTAAGGGTCAGAAGGAGTGTTAGGTGTGAGAGATGGCTGCAGGGGAAAAGGTCAGGCACGGGAAGTTCTGTAGGTGGCTACCACTGAATCCTGCATGACAGGTGACAGTGGCTCTGGCAAATGTGGTAGCAGTGGCAGTGTAGAGGAAGGCTGAGCTTCTGGGTATGTTCTGAAGGTTGAACAAAGGTGGCTCCTAGTGGGCTGGGGTGGGGGGTAGAGAATGAGAATAAAGTTCAGGACTATGGCCAGAGATACTGGCAAGAAGATGGGCAGGTGAACACCTTGTGCTCATCTTTGGACATGGTAAGCTTGAGATGTAGGTGAGACAGCCAAGGAGCAGTGGAGAGTAGGACAGTGTATCTATGTTCAGGGGGATGCCTGAGCTGGATGGGTGAATTGCATGAAGTCATCAAGGGAGACAGGCCCAAGGACTGGGCTTTAGAGCTCTGCAATAATGAAGAGGTCAAGAAGAAAAGGAGAAAATGGCAAAGCAGACTAGGAAGATGTGACCAGTAAGGCAGGAGAAAAACCAACAAAATGAGTTGTCGTAGAAGCCAAAAAGTTTGTCTTTTCTGATGGAGTGGGTAAATTTAACTATGGTATTATGTAAGAACTTCTATAAATGTCACAAGATATCTCCAGTATATATGGGGATAATTACACAATAATATGATAACTAAAAAAATCTGTCTTTTCTTTAACAAGCTTAAAAGATAGAGTTCAAGAAATACTTGAGAATACTTCTCGGGGAAACATATGAGAAATGATTTGTCACTATATGCTCATCAACAGAATACCATGGGTCCTAGATAGCTTATCTATCTTAGGTCCTGTGTGTGCTTATCTTATCCTGGGTTTAATGTTAGCTTTGCCAGAACCATCTATCCAACTTATTTCATGCTGTGTATTTTTAAGGTGCCTAACAATCTGTTATGAAGGCAAAAAAGCAGAGGGAAAGAGGAGGGAAGGAGAGAAAAGGGTAGATGAGGAATTTGTAAAAGCTTAGCAAGTGTTGAGTCATGGTGCAAGCCTGCTGTCACTACTGTTAAGACTCCTTTCAAAGAAAATTTCCCAAGTCTCCTTGTGAAATGTGGATGAATCAACCAGGCAGGGCACAGCTCAGCAGGGAGAGGCATGGTGGGTGTGCTGCTCTGAATCCTTTTTACTACCTCTGTACGCCTCTCCTTCCCTGGGAATTGCCAGGTGGCATCATCACACAGCTTGAAAAGGGCTGAGCTACTTGGTCCCTGATAGGGCTACATGATCTGTTTTCCATTTTCTCAGTAGGCTTTGAATATTTTTAAGCCCTTTATGTAGGTTTTCTCATTGGGCTGACCATGTTACTTAATTTTTTTTTTTTTGCAACAGTAGGGTTTGACCTCAGTGCTTCGCATTTGCTAGGCAGGTGCTTTTACCACTTGAACCACACCTCTAGCCCATTTTGCTCTGGTTATTTTGGAGACAGGGTCTTGTTTTCTGCCTCCACCCTCCTATCTTATGATTCCCATGATAGCTGGAATGACAGGCGTGCACCACCATGCACAGGCCTAGGCTGGCCTGGAACCATGATCCTCCTGATCTCAGCCTCTCAAGTAGTCAGGATTACAGGCATGAGTCACTGGCCCCAGCTACATTATCTTATTCTTGAGAATGAAGGGTACACAGGACCTAGGATGTATGTACTAAAGATTAGTCAACAGAAGCTGAAGGAAGGGTGGCAGCCCACATCATGCTACCAGGAGGAGCAGGTGCTGTTAAGAGTGAATCAGGGCAATTCATAGTTGTGACAAGTAGCATACAGTGGTCGCAGCTTGGTAACACAGTATTCATTCTGATCAGGAAGCACTGTCCCCAGCAAGGATGGAGTGTCTACTTGTCACAGAATTTGGTTCTGAAACGCTGTCCATAGTTAATGACCTGAGTGTGAATGAACTTGGTCATGCTGAGCTTTTTCTGAAGACCTCCTGCTCTGTAACTAGGGGAGGCATTCCCATAAATGTCAGTCACAGGCAGGAAAAACTAGCACTGGGGAACTACAGAAGACACGGCATTACCTCTTATCTTCTCAGTTTTGGGACACCAGAATTCAGTCCTGGGCTCACCTCTACTGTACGCTAGCCCATATAGGGCAAAAGGACTCAAGCACACTTAATGCCAACTTCCAAACTGGCACCTTTTATCCTGACCTTCCCTTTCAGCCAAGATTCACATACTGAAACTACCAATTTCTTGCCCTCACCTGGATGTGAAAAGTTGTGTTTTGTTTTTTTTTTTTTTTTTTGTGGTACTGGGGTTTGAACTCAGGGCTGACATCTTGAGCCACTCCACCCACCCTTTTTTTGGTGATGGGTATTTCGAGATAGGGTCTCGTAAGCTATTTGCCTGTGCTGGCTTCAGACTTTAATCCTGTTGACCTCTGCCTCTGGAGTAGCTGGGATGACAGGTGTGAGCCACTGGTACCCGGTTGGAAAAGTTACTTTAAAGGTGAGTTGACCAAAACATAACTCCTGACATCAAACCAAAAAGACGAATTTTATGTGCCCACTTGACAGCGCTTACAAGGTACTCAGCTATTTAGTCTAGCATTATTCTGGATGTTTCTGTGAGGGCATATTTGAATGCGTTTAACTTTTTGTTTGTTAACACAGGGTCTTGCGATGTAACCCAGGCTGGACTTGAGCTCATGATTCTCTGGTGTGCACCACCATTCTGGGCACTCAAGTGAGTTTAACATTTAAGTCAGCAGAATGCCCTCAGTAGGTGGGCCTCACCCATGGGCCTCCCACAAGAATTAGGGAACTGAGATGCTGATCTTTTCTGGTTTCAGCTGAAACCACTCTCTATTTCCTCAGCTTTAGGATTTTGACCAAACTAGATCATAGGCTCTCCTGGTCTATAGCTTGCCAAACAGAGATCTTGGACTTGTCAGTCTCCATCACCACAGGAGCCAATTCCTTACAGCAAATCTGTCTGTCACAGATCCTGGTGGTCTGCCTCTGAAGAAAGCTGTTTTTCCCCACAGTCTTCAACACCTCTCTTATGAAACAGTGTTCACATAGTTATTCAAGGAAGACAATCTAGACACTGTATTTGCTTCTTCTGCTTCACTTGCCCTCTACGCTCTATAGTTTGGGAGTGGGACCTACTGCTCCTACTACAGCAATTAATCAGAAGCAAGGAATCAGGAGAGTGAGGCCTCCTCACTCCTGCTGTAATTGCATCACTTTACCACAAGCCCCACAGGCAGAGTGGTGACTGCCTCCTTGTTCCAACCCTAACCTGCCTTCACAAGACATGTCTCATGTTCTACTGATTGCACTAACTAGGTGGCAAAAGGGAGGTATTTTTAAAATGTTAACTGGCTCATCTAATAGGGCCCAATTCTCCCTAAGGGTGTCTGCATCTCTTATCTTCATCTACTGCTATCAACTCTCTCCTGTTACAGAAGACATCAGAAAGGCATTCAACAAAATGCTGAGTGCTATTTTTCTGGGGACCGGGACTCATTCAATAACTAGTTGGTAAACATTAAATATTTTTAAAAACTCTCTAGGATTTCACAGCTAAAATGGATTCATTTAAAAGAAGTGAACGAGGACTGGCAAGCTCAGTCATAGAGCACCTTCCTAGCAGGTGCAAGGTCCTGGGTTTGACGCTCAAGATTACAAAATAAAGAAAAAAAAAAAAAAGAAGGAAAGAAAGAAAGAATGAACTAAAGTCCACCAGTCCTGCTAATAGCTATATGAACCAGGTGAGCCACTAAACTCTGGGAACCATAGAACACTGATCTATTAGGAAGTGTAGAGATGGAAGGAAAGGCTAAAGTCATCTGGTTCAATGATTCAGAGGCCAGAAGCCCCACTGCTCTACATCTCATGGCTGAACACAGCCATGTTTAAATTTAGATTCAGTGCTCTTTCTAAAGCATTTTGCCTCAAAAAGCAGAGTTAAGAGAATGAGGAAGATACATACTGATATATATATTTTTTTAATGGGAAAAGGGAAAGCAACAGATAAGTAATAATAAACCATGTAATCTGATATAAGCACAAAGCTGTAATGGCAAAGTCACTCACTACTACAATGCACTAGTGGGAAGACCATGGGAGAACACTGCCTGCAGTGTCCAGAGCAGGGAAGCAAGTGAGCTATAGTTTTCTGCAACGTTCTAACTTCACTTACAGACAACTTTGAGCACCTGTTATCATTCAGATTTTTTTTTTTTTTGAGGTACTGGGGCTTGAACTCAGGGCCTTATGCTTCCTAGGCAGGTACTCTACACTTGAGCCATACCACCAGCATTATTCTAGTTTTTAGAAAGGTTTCTTGAGCAAGTGCAGAGTGTAATTTTAAAATTTCATTTTAAAAACCACCAATCTAATTTAAAAGAAAAAAAGAAAGAAATGATGGCAGGTGCTGGTAAAGTGATGACTGCTAGGAATGTAAAACTGAACAGCTGCTTTGGAAATCAGTTTGGTAGTTTGTCAAAAAGTTAAACATAGCTACTATAAGAGGAAGCAACTCCACATTGGCGTATATACAAAAAAAAGAACCATATGAATACATGCTTATATATGATGTTCACAGAAGCATTTTAATAATTAAAAACAATCCAGATGTTCTACACCTAAAGAATGGATTTTAAAAGAGTGGCATAAAGACCACATATTAGGATTACATTTCTATGAGATATCCACAATAGGAAAACTGAAGAGACAGAAAGGAGATGGAGAGGTTGGAAGATGGATTGGGAGCATGGATTGTAACTGCTAACTTTTTTTTTTTTTTGTGGTACTGGGGCTTGCACTCAGGGCCTACACCTTGAACCACTCCACCAGCCCTTTTTTGTGGTATTTTTTTTCAAGATAGGGTCTTGTGAACTATTTTGCCCAGGCTGGCTTCACACCATGATCCTCCTAATGTCTGCCTCCTGAGTAGCTAGAATTACAGGCATAAGCCGCCTGCGCCCAGCTCAGCTAATAGGTTTCTGAGGTGAATAAAATGGTCTAAAACTGTGGTGATGTCTGCGCGACTCTGAAAACACTAAGCAGTCCTAAGTCATGCATACTCTCTAAGCTCTTTTGGGGATAAATTGTGGCAAATTAACATCCTTTTCTTGGACGTGTAGTAAGTGGGAGTACCAGCTAACTGTTGTTGGTACTGATCAGTCACCTATGGACTCTGCTGCTGATGACACAGGCAGAATGCTGAAATTAATCAAGACGGACCTGGACCCACATGAGCGAATTTTGCCAATTTTCTTGATTTCTGAATACACCAAGTAAGGTGACATGAAAAACAATAAGCTTCAAAAATACAATGCCTAGAAGCACTGAGGACTCATGAAAACAAGAGGCAATTTAAACAGTCAAACCGAGCACACAATTCTGCATCACAGTGACTTACGGGACTGACGTAAACGCCTTGGTGCACATCTCCAAACTGGCCTTCTCCAATACAGCGTCCAAGTTCTATTCTTTCTCTTTGAATTTCATAATCCCTGGCTGCAAAACATGAGCCATTCATCATACATACTTATGTGCAATACTCACAACTGGATATAGCATTTGATACACACATTCCATTTCAATAACACTTACAAACACAAATTTCACCCAAGGCACAATATAATAAAAATGTTTTAAATAGAGTGGAATTCTCTTAAACATTACTTTAAAAGGAATTTCTGTGTGAGTTATGGGATCGAAGAAGTGCCAAAACAATTAGCTCTATTAAAGGTAGACTTTTTAATCATGCTGTTCCTAGGAGTTTTTGAATCTCTCTGATTTATTTGGTATCTATAGTTTTCTAAATAATTGCTCCAAGTATAATATGTTTAATTGGTAACAGCTTATTAGTTTAGCTATTAATATATGCAGATCATAAAACACATTTGAAGTAATTATTTTACAAATAGCTGGCTTGTAAATACAGAGGTAGCATAAAAATTGTGTCGCTGACCAAACCTTATGTTTTGAAAGTTTAAGAGTTTTCCACTTCATTATAATCTTATCTCTATATTATTCATAGAGCTAAAAGAGTTTAAAGAGGTAGTTCCTAAAAACTAATTTCAAAATTAGATGACTTAGAATCAAGGTTGAACACATCAACATAAACTGAGAGTATGTGCCACAAATGAACACATTAAGTTGTGAGTTACGGAAAGGCAGTGATTTAGTAGGCTGTTGAGGCACACAGAAAAAAAATGCCCACTAGGACCATAATAAATTGAGTACTAATTCAATCAACTACCTGGTACTCTGCTTTATTTCAAGTGTGGACTACATCCCCATAACCCATACTTGCACGCATTCCATTAGTGTAATCACCAGTAGAACAAGCCATCGGCCAAATATTTAAAATTGTTCCCTTGGGTGATCAAAGTATAAGTCATACAGAACACCCCATTCACAGTTTAGGTAGCTGTTTCCTCTTTAAAATCACTTTAGCTAATAATTCACTGACTTAACAGTATGAGTAAAACAATGTCCAACAGTTTAAAAGTTAACTGAAAATGAAACATCCCGCCTCATTCCATGGTTGCAATTGCAAGCAAATGCAGTATGTCAAAGGAATCCTTTACCTTCATCTATTCCATAGCTTTCTGTATTGCAATTAAGAGAGAAAAAATTAGTTATTTCTTGCTTAGAAATAACTAATAGCAATTAGGTTAACAACAACAAACTTGGAGAATATGCTCATTAACATTTACTTTATTAAGTATTTTAAACACAAATGAGTAAAAAAACAGAACTAAGTAAGAGCAAGTAACAAACAGCCCTAAGTTAACTCAGTGTTATTTAAGCAATGCCTTTAAATCTCTACCTCACAGATTTCTAATGTATACCTCACTTTTGTAGGGTCTAGGTAAAAGGTGCCATGTTAGACATTTACTACTCATGCACAAATTATAAATAGACCACTGCAGATGTGAATTCTCTGTAGGAATGTACAAACAAAAAAGTGAAATTATAAATCTTCCCAAATTGCTGCTGGCAGTCAAAATGTACACACTAAGTCTCTGCTCTTGGGTCAGGTTCAATCGCTGTGATAAAGGGGCTGGTGGTGTGGCTCAAGCAGTAAGACTGCCTGCCTTGCAATGGTGAGCCCCTGAGTTCAAATCCCGGGGCTGTCCCCCACCCCCCAACACTCTGATAAAAGGAATTCGAAAAAGAAAGTGGTATGCTCAAGAAAATGCATGCCTCAGAGGCTTGGTTGTAACTCTTCATTTTGGTAATGTCTCTCAATGTATACAGAAAATCCAAATGAAAACATCTCTTAAATACTACACAATACAGTAAAGTAGCTAAAATATTTAGCTCTGTTGAAGTCTACTGAAATCAGAACAGACTGAAAATTAGTAAGGCTTCTGAGGCCTCTTTAAGAGCCAGAGGAAAAAAATTTTGTACAAAAACAAAATTTCAAAATCTGGCGACAATATACTCCAAGGCAAGACCTGGGTTTCTAGATTCTTCTACACCAAGCTACACAGTCACTGTGAAGAAGAGTGCCTTGACATTTCCAGGCTTTGAGGAGCTCCTCCAAGGTTCTGTGTCCCCTACCTTCCACAGGGCTGAATGGACTAAAGGCTAGAAGCCGTTTAGATTGGTCAGTCAACAGCAATAAGGAACAATTTCAAAGGGGAACTGTGAGTCTGTGAGAGAGTGTGTCTACACCCTCATGACTGAATGTGTGTATTTAACCTTTACACAATACAAATTTTCTACAGAGGAAATATGGAAGGTTGCATTATTACAGATTATAGTAATTCTGTAACTAAACTAAATTAGAGCCATTTGCGTTACAGGCTTCTGACCTTAGAACGGGCACATACAGAAGCTGAAGAAGAGTATTTGTTAAGTACTCAGTAAGTAAGGCTCCCCGTGATAATAAGTATCAACAACTTGTCAGCTCAAGGCACTTGAGAGAGGGAAGAAGGGGACGTCTACTTACTTGAGGGCATGGTATATGTGTCTTCTTCATCTATGATCTCCGCATAATCGTCTGTCTCTGTATGAAAGCAAACAGATGTTGGCAGAGGTTAAGTGTTTTCCTTTTGTCCTTTAAGATAATCTGAAAAGGCAAATAACCTGCCTAATCCCAACTATGCTTAAATACTCTTAAAATGCTGTCATTCAAATTTTGCTCACGCACAAGTAATTTATGGAAATAAAGTGACACCACTGCTCAACATGTTACAATCCACAGTCCTGTTTACCTCAGAAGACCCTTGTGAAATAGCTCTGTATGTTATCCCACAGAACTCTCCCTCACCTACACCAAAGGCATGTTTAAAACCACTGTGGTCTATTGAGACTTCCCTAAAGAAATCCTTTGAACAAAGTCAACATCTCCAAAGCCCAGTCAGTACTTGATTTTATTAATGACTAGACTCAAAGCATGATCTCAAATTTCTCTTTCAGAGAATAAATGGAGGCCTAATTTTTGAGGACATGAACTGGACTGGTAGAAAACCGGAACCCAGGAATTTAGCTTTTTCACCCAGATATTTGCAGAGTATACATTAATATTACAAAGGCAAAATATCTGCCAAAAAAAACCAAAACAAAACAAAGAGCATATTAAAATGGGTTCTTTTGTGAGATATGTCAAGAAGTTCCAATCTTTCTATTTATTCCAACTTAAAAAATGTACCACCCTATTACTGGGAAATAAAGAAAAAACTCCTCTGGAGAAAACCACCACTCACTGAATAACACATGTTGAAAACCCACTGAGTCTGTTTTACTCTTTCTGGAAAAAGACCTCCACCACTCCATGTGTGAGCACTGAGCCTGCCAGTCCATTCCTACAGTCACAACAAGGACAGGCAGTACTTCTGATAAAGCTCTGGGAGAGCTGGCTGACACCTGCACTCAGCCCCAGGGAGGCTGACAGCTGCAATGCTTTCTACTGTGTGGCCCACTTAGGGCCGCACTCAGGGATTAAAAGCACAGAAGCCAAGGAAAGTAGAGAATGTGTGTCCTTTACAATAAGATGTTAATCAGCGCACACGGTGCCACAGGAAGGATTGACACACGGTGCCACATGAAGGAATGACATTAAAGCTGCAACTGTATTTAATATGTAAATCACCAAAAGTGACTGAAGTATGGCAGAATCCAAAGTCAATACATTGATTCTGTTTAAGACATTTATCAAATGTAAAATATTCCTAAGTCCTGTATGACAGGCAGGTATGCTATCTTATTCTTATTCTTAGATGTTTATACTACTACTTACATGATTAAAGAAAAAAAATCTATTCCAAACCTTACATTCTCCTATTTCCATACTTCCTCTTCTCCTGTTCTCAGTGAACCTGAGAACAGAAAATTGGTGCCCAAAGACCTGGAACTTTGCTTTTGTGTAAGATGGCTTATCAAAGGACCTGTGAAAGAAGACTGGGGACACAGGAGCTGCTCGAATGCTTGTTAACAGCAAGGACTAAGGGGTAAGGAATCTGACAGCTCAGGCAACTCACAGAAGGGCATCTGCCAACCACTTTCTCTTTGCATTCCATAATTTAGCATGCTCCATATTATGGCCCCCTCAGATATCGAATACAACCAAGTGTGCATTTCCACTAAGAGCAGCCCCAGACCCTCACTCAGGCCTCCTCTCCAGTGACACAGCACATGCCTTTGACTGACCCAAGGGGATGCTGCCCTGGGACTCGGCAGCTGTTTCAGGAACACCCCACAGGCACCGCAGCCTCCCAGGGGTGCAGGGGACCACACCAAGTCTGTCCAGAAGTCAAATCTCTCAGTCCCAGTGAGGATGATGATGATGAAAGCAATCATGACAGCAATGGCAGGGATCTCTGCTGAAGGCCTACCAGGTGCTAAAGTTCACATGGGCTCAGGCCAATTACGCTTTCAGCCAAAGCACTGCCTCATTTTGAGTCCTTTCCTCAAACTAATTTTCCCCTGATCTTAATCACATTCCCCAATTTATTGTCATCATCACCTCTAACTGCCTAGCATTAGTTTGTTTCCTTATTACCTGTCTTCCCACCTTTCCAGAACAGAGTGCCCACTGGGGCAGAACCCTCATGCACCTAGTTCATCCCTGGGTTCTCCAGAGCTGAACCTGATACACAGAAGGCGCTCAGGAGATACTGCTAAGCAACAAGGCTGGATGCACTGCTCCAACACGGCGAGGGACAACGCATCCCTGAGACCCCAAGGCACAGGACATGAAAACTTGTTCAGGGTGGCATAGACAGTGACCAGCAGGCCTGCCGTACCTGTGCAAGGCACATGTGACTTTCAGGGTGTCACTTCACCTGACTATGATGCAGCTGTGACCTCATGTGTGCAAGGAAAGCAGCATACACCTGTATGAGGACCACTGGAGATTCACATAAAGGTGAGGCGTAGCCCTGCACGTAACAGGTGATGGAAAATGGAAGCTCCTCTTGCTGCTGTGCTTGTGAAGTGTGAGTGCTTTGTGAGAGGACCTGGCAGCTGAGGGGCTGCCATCCCTGTGTGCTGAATCTTTTGGTCAGTCTTGATGTGACTAATTCCTTTAAGGACTGTCTTACAAAACCTCCAGGACAGATATCGAAGCCCAGGATAATTCTAAAGAAGTATATTAAAATGGCTAATATACAGCAAGCTAGCATGCAACACTGACTTGTAAAAAATTATGCTGCATACATTTTGATTAATTAATTCACACAATTACAAGAATAGGTCTATAATTTTTTTTAAAAGCTATGTGGGGGGGAGGGGAGAGAGGGAGAGGGTGGGGGAGGGGGCAGGGGGGAGAAATGACGCAAACAATGTATGCACATGCGAATAAATGAATAAAAAATAAAACAAAAAAAAAACTATGTGAATTTTACATAAAACCTCTTTGTTATTGAGAACCACTTATAATATTTGGGGTAAAAATATGTACTATGATGCAACTAGAATGAACTTCATGGGTTGGTTCTTAAAGTGCAAAGTGACACTGTGGAAGGTACACGCAACTGTGAAGGCTCATTTATCCTTAGGACTGTGGGACACTATGACACTAATATGAGAGCCCAGCTAGAAACTGCCTCCCTTTCCCATAAATAATGGTATTACAAGAGGAAAATCTAAAAAAAAAAGAAAATGGCTCAAAGATCTGGAAAGGAAACTACATACTCTGCAAATAAGGATGGTGACAAGGACTGCAGGTTTAAGGATGTCAGGGTGTCCTCAACAATTATGTGCACATGTGCACCATCACTTTTCCCTCAGCAGACTCTCCCGTGGTGGCATTGCTACTACCATCTCTGTATCATGTGCAGGAAGCTGAGGCACAAAGGAGAGAGAAAACTTTTTCTAGCTTCCAAAGCCACAGACCTGGGCTTCGAAGTACCTTACACCATCCATTATCATTCTTCACAAAATTTATTTAATTTGTATTTGTGAAAGGAGATACCTTTTGCTTTTGGACTATCAAAAGTTCCACTAGGGATATTTTCAGATTTTTTTTCTCTCTAACGTGGGCACAATTTTGCTACAAGGAACTCTCAAGAAAGCTCATCTAGATGTGCAAACTTGGAAGACCATTTCAGGATGCCTGGACCATGAGTGAAAGATTTTTAAAAAACCATCAAAAGTCATAGTGTGCATGTAGTCCCAGCAATTAGAAGATTAAGGCAGGAGGATTGGTTGGGCCTGGAATATAGTCTAGGCAACTTAGTGAGACCCAGTTTCAAAAAAATAAATAAATAAAATATTAAAAAAGGAGACTTCTAAAATTTGTATACTGCAATTTGAATGGTACAGCATCACAAATATGTGGTTAAAATTAGAAAGATGGGAAGACCTGTTAAAAATATAGAAACTGATAGCTCAGAAAACAGGAGAGAAAAACTCTATGTTCTCACGTTACCACATGAGATGTTCTCATGTTAGAGATATGACATGAAGTCACTACTGAAATGATCAACTTTCTTAGGTGACGTTATAGGCTACTGCTGTGACTTAAAAGGCCTGATGGCTCTGGAGCTGAAGAGAGTCAGTGTGGCACTTGGGAGGGATGTATTAGAGGAGAATGGTTACTATCCCTTAGTTTGTAAATAAAAGAAGCTGCACAAAAGCCTTAAGCTCAAAAACTTCATAGGTACTGAAATACGTGGAATTTCCCATGTATGAGGCAGACAGTGTGATTTTATTCCCACAACTCTCCCCTTCCTGCTGGTGGTATGTGTGCTGGCATGGGTACAAGCAATTCTGGCCACTTGTTCCCTGCTGCTGTGCAGAGGGATGAGGTGTGTTAGAAGTTTGATAAGTTAGTGTATCAATCCAATGCACTAACGTCTTTATAACGACTACGGTATCTAGGCAATTCAGGAATACTAACCAATTTCAGCCTCTTATCCAACCTGGATAACACCATGTGCCATGAACTGTGAAGCAGTAGAAAGCGTTCTAGGCGGTAAGACGAGCCCACATAGCTCTGTAATGTTAATGAGATATGTGACCTAGATAGGGACTGGCACATTTTCTATGATAGGTTAGACAGGAAACGTTCTAGGCTGTGCTAGATATCCAGTCTCTGTGGCAGCTGCTCAACTTTGCTACTCAAATCATTGCCGATAGGTACTCAGACGGCAACAAGCTGACAGGGCTATGTTCCAACAAAACTTTACTTATGGACATTGAAATCTGAAGTTCATATAGTCCTGATATCACAAATACTGGTTTTCTTCTGATATTTTCCCCTCAAGCCATAAAAACATTGATACTTCAATGGCAAAATAAGAACAGTTGGTCTTTAAGTTTATGGACCCCTGCCCAAGACCAAGCAAGTGGACCCTTAAGACTGCTGACCTGTAAGGTGGTGAGCATACTCAGCCCTGGGAAACTCAAATGTGGGAGAATACACAGAAGGGCCTGAATTCTGTCCGTCTGGAGAATTCGTTTTGAGATGTTCAGTCTGATTTGCAGTAACTGGGAGTAAGCAATCTGCTGGAGATCTCAGGAGTCAACTGGTAGCAGGGTGGGGCAGCGGACAGTGTGAGATTGGAGCCTGAGACCTGACTACTGGCCTCTGATCATCACTTCCCTCATCTGTAAAACAAACTGCCACTTAGTGACATCTGGGATGACTTGGGCGTGTCAGGACTCACACAGGCCAGTCACTGGCACACAGCAGCTCCCTGGGAATGGCAACCGCTCATTTATTTACCACCATGGAATGACCTAGACACAAGGCTCCAGTCTGGCTCCTAATCCCAAGAAGAACATGCACTTTCCTCAAGTCCTGTTTAGTTAAGGTCTCTGACTGCAGCTGCAACTGCTTCCATCATTCTACGGTATATCACAAAATGAATAGGGTGAAAGCTTCAGTGAAAGTACTGTTACTTAACCACAAGAAAAAAAACGCACATCTTCCTTCATTTTTAGTTTGAAACATCTTACTCCTCTGGTATGAAGAAGCATATGATATAAAAGTGAAGCATAAGACACTAGACAAGATTTAAAAATTCCTAGCTTATTAAGTGCTATTAATTGTTTGAGAAAAAGATCATTATCCTAATAATGCTGATATCTCCCTAATTAGTTGTATGACTCTTAAAAACCACTTTCATTTTTTCTTTTACTACCTCATTCTTAGACTAAGAATTATTATACACACATCACATAAATAATCGCATAGCAATAACACAAATGTGAAAATAAATATTACCGTCCCCACTAATTTCATCTGCAGATCCAGGTGGCATGCAAAGAAAGGGGGAGTAGAGAACAGAGGGAAGGAGAGACAGGAAAGAGAAGAGGGAAAGAGGGGAAACACACTATTAAAATGACAAGCAAATCAAAGTGTAAGAAAAATAACAAAATCACCCCAAGCTCTAATTCAAAAGGTAAGACTAGTAGTATGTTTGCTTGAATTGAAACCTATTATGCCAAATTTTAAGCTATCAACATATTATACAAAGTTAAACAGCAATATTGTAGTTTAAATTAGTTCTGACCATACTTAAATATTACAAATGGTTCTCTCTCAAAGAGAATCTGTGTCCTAAGATAAAACTGAAAACAAACTCATCATTAACGTGTACATTAAATGGTAAGCTGGGGAATAAGCCCTCGGTATTCCTGTTATATCCTCCCCTCTCCCACCCCTGCCTGTGTAGGGCCTTGTGCACACAAGGCAAGGGTTCTAGACAGTGAGATCCACTTGTAGAAGTAGGCCACGCCTCACTATAAATTGTAGGGTGGGCAGTACTTGAAGCTCTGCTGACAATAAGGCTCACATTTAAATTTGTATGAAACAACAAATTTTATTCATTTGGACAAATTATTATTTCAATAAGTATTGAATTTCAATATTATCAAGTATCGTTTGCTTTCCTAGGAAACTCTCCAAATGGCATGGCAGTCTCATCTCTGTAACATCACTGAACATCTATCTGTTCCCAAAGTACAGAAAACAGACACCCAGGATTTACTCTGATCATCTCCTTCATTCAGCTGCATACTATATTAGGAAATCCATAATCTAAAAAACATAGTCCTGCCAACCCCTGTGGGAAAACACTCATGACAACAGAAATGAAACCAGGAAGCTATATCTTGCCCTGTCATGCATTTAAAAACTAGTTAGGCAAACAAAAAGTGTTCTCTTCAAGAGCGCATCCCAAAGATCGTGAGACACAACACCTTTCCCTGAACCACCACCTTCGGATAGGAGACAGCACGCACACGTTCAATGAGGCTGTCATGTGCATGGGACAATCTACAAGCATCTGACTGGTTAGTTTTGTGGGTGCTCTGGTTAATGGGAGAGCCTGTGCAAACTGTGCAGTACCGGTAGAAGGAGATTCAAGAGAACAGAAGACCAAAGGGAGAAAGCGCCTAGCTTTCTTAACTTTAGGTTGGCAGTGACTGACTCCTTTATAAAGAGGCAAGAAGAGGAAAGAGAAAAATAGAAACACATTATTTCAACAGAAAAACAAGCTCTGTTACATTTTTAAAACACATCTATAAGAACAAACACAAAATTACAATGCTTTTATTTGACTAGTTAGCATATCTTATCTCTTACTATGGACTTAACTGTTTTAAAAAATTAATATTTTTAAGAAGTAACTTTCTATTTTAGCAAAGATTAGCATTAGATACAGAAAGAAGATATAATGAAACTCTCCCAGCTCTACATAGCCAGCCACTGAAAGTATGTTTCTGTAAGTAACAAAACTGAAAAGAAGCAAACAACAAAACAAAGACCAATAAATAATTTAAGAATTAAGAACATTCAGCTAGGCGTGGTGGTGCATGCCTGGAAATTCTAGCACTAAAGAGGCTGAGGCATGAGGACAGAGAGTTTGAGGATAGCATGGGCTAGATAGTGAGACTCTGCCTCAAACAAACTACCACCACCAACAAACCCAACAAAAAAAGAACATTCAATATCTTTATGAACACTTAACATTCAACCATACAGAAAATAAAATGCAGAAAACTAGCAGACCTTGACGAATGGACGAGTTTAATGGGCAATATACTCCAAATCATAAGCAGACAGAGTCACTGACCTGGAGTATCTTAACATAAAAAACTGGCAATGAGGATGTTCTAATACACCGGTTCAAAACTTGAATCATATACTTATTCCCTTGTTCATTCTGCTCAAAACTCATTTGAGAGGCGACAATTACAGTATGGCAATGGAAGTGGTAGACATACGTCAAAGTGAAGTTCTACCAATGGATGGAGACTTGATGTAGAAGATGCAACATGAATGTTACAGGTATGCACAGATACACAGGGCACTGTCAAAAGTCCAAGGAGAATGAAGGTCAGGACTGTTTGGCTATGGAAATGGCAACAATCTTGTCTCAGTTACAGTATCAACACAGAAGGTACAGACATGAGAAGAACTGAAGTGCACACGCTAGTAATTTTTCAAAGGACATATTTTGAGTCCAATGACACTGACTACTTCAACTTACTGCTTGATTTGAAATGCTCCTTTTATTACATATTAAACTTCCGGACTTCCTACAAGATAGCTTATAGGGGAAGAAGATGGCCCAACTCAACAAGTGAATGTAGCCTGTGGGGCTGGTCTGGAAGGCAAGAGCTACGTGGGATGTTACTGGGATGAAAGCGCACGGACTGTGGAACTGGAATGTGGCTCAATCGGTAGAGCGCTTGCCGAGCAAACGCGAGGCTCTGAATTCAACTCCAGTACTGCAAACCAAAACAACAAAAAAGAATATGGACTGTGGACAAGGGCATTCTGTCAGTATTAAATGTCCTGGTTTTTTAGTTACTGATTGTATATGATGATATTGTTAGTCTTAAATACAAAGGATGTGGATTTGGTAAGATGTAAGAATATATCTTACTATTCTTACAGCCATTCTCTAAGAATGGCCCTATGAAGAAATAAAAACCACAAAGAATGTGAGGCTCTGGAGCCAGACAGTCTGTATTCAAACACTGGCTTCACTACTCACCTTGACCTTGGGAACATTACCTGTGGTCCATTTCTCAGTTTTCTCACTTGTACGATGGGGCAGTGACAGAAGATGCCTCAAAGAGCTGAGGGAGGATTCCCTTGTACCGGTGGCCACAGTGACCACATTTACATGCCAACTATTCTCATTTCTCTACCTTTGTTTCTAAACAGCTAAATATTATCTATATTGACTTATAACCAAATGAGCTTTTAAAAACAGAAGTAAAACTTCTCTTGAGTAATACTATGAGTACCCTGCATCAGAAAAACAAACATAAAAGTATTTAGGGCGCTCATTTTTTTCAAGGTTATTTTAATTACAATTTTTTGAACACCTACCATAAATTAGGCCTACCACACAGGTGCTGGGGTTATAGCAGTGAGCAGAAGAGACCCTTAAACTCTGAATTTATTATTGAACTTAGATTCTAGAATGGGAGAAAGACAAAATAATTGATGTGGTATATCCCCATTCAAGTGCCATAGGGGCAAGCAGAGCAGAAGGGAGTAGGGGATGTTCCATGTGTAGCTGCAACTCTAGAGTGATTGTGGAAGGAAAAGGTCATTTGCAAAGATGTCCAGGAGGAGAGGCAGCAGCTATGCTGGTATCTGGGAAGGGACACATAGGCCAGACACACAGATGTGCCTTTTTTAGGGAGGGAAGATGTCACGTGAGTGCAGGACAGTGGCAGAGCAAATGGACAGGCCAGTGGCACCTGAGCAAGGTATGTGGTCAGGAGTTACAAGTGAGGCCAAAGCATTGTGTGTGTTTGGCTGTCAAGGTTCAGCTGTGCTATAGCAGACATGAATAAATGGAGGAGGGCTCAGTCAGGGATCACCCAGCAGGGCTTTGAGGCTTAGCCAGGGAGGATATGAGAAGTATGATATGACAATGGGATGGTAACAGGGCCCTTGGAATGGGCCCTGGTTGAGTTCAAGGGTTGTTGGAAGTGGTACTCAAGGAACAAGTTGACAGGTGTGGTCAGAGAGGGTTTCCTAGTAGTAAAACTGCAGTGGGGCTAGCTCTCCAGACCCAGTGGAGACACCACAGCAGTAAGTGGCTATGGAAAGTAGAGGCAAGGCCACTAGATGAATCGCTGACAATGAAACTGGGATCCTCCAAAACTGGCGTGGGTGTTGGGAAGTCAACACCAAGCTGGAGGTTCAGAACTTTGAGGAATATAGGAGGGTCTAACTAATACATAGGACTCAAAGCTAGTGTTTTTGAGAGAGTGACAATGAAAAGAAAAAGACACTATCCTCACCTCCAGTCTTAGGGCTTCAATGTCTCCCAGAGCCATCACCCATGGTTTGCAGGGGCACTACAGGGCACCAATGTCCTCAGGGCCAAGGCCAGTCTGCAGATTGAGAGAAGAGGAGTCCTGGAAGGCTCAGGTGAAGGGCGTTAGATGTGGGCAAGAGCAGGGGATGTGCAGAGGCAACAAGGGTCTGGGGCCTCTGCAGGAACCAGCACAAGTGAGGATAAAGGCAGAACACGATACATCAAGAGGATCACTAGTTCCCTCTGAGCTACATCTCTCCTCAGTTACTAGTTCTCTTTTCTGTCCAACAGCAATGGTTCTCTAGAGTAACCAAGCAGCTGATAAGGTCCAGTATCTTTTAGAAATATTCCCTCCAAAGAATGGAGGAGATGACAGACTTTGCATGCCTCCAACTTTGTGCCTCTGATGAAAGCGAGGCATGCACGTCAATGGCTGCTAAAGAAACAGGTGAGATGCTCATGGGGAATTACAAAAGGATGGACCAAGGACTCCAGCCTCACTGAGCACTCATAATTTCAGAAAGACACAATCTGATGCACATTGTCTTGAAGTGTTTTTGCAGGGGTAAGTATCAACCCTGAATTAGATTAACTTCATTAGATCCTGACATCTAGCACACAATAAAGGGGTCAGAGATGAAAAGATTAAGAAAAAACAATGTTATAGAGATGTAATCAGCCAAATCCACCATATAGGAACTACAAGGTAAGTGCCAGCATTTCTTCTACAGATAAACTGTAATTGCAAGCAAACAAAACAGGACAGCCTAGCTAACAGACACAGGAGAGGTAGTAAGTAAATTCAACAGTATTACTTGTTTAACTTGTTTATCTTAACAAAATCAAAATTGAAAGTGGAGCAATCAGGAAAATTTGAACACTGACTGATACGTTTTATTTTTTAGAAATCATTATAAGTAAATACACCTTAGAGTTGGTTTAAGAGAATCAGTAGGGATTATGTATCTGTGTAAGTGGCTGGAAGCAAAGCTAAAATAAAATTGATGGTAAGTTTTTGGCCACTGAATTTCAGTAATGAGTATGTGAAAATTATTATACAATTCTGCTCTCTTTTCTGCGTATGTTTGAAATTTTCTATAATTAAAAAAATTAAAGAGGGCTGGCAGAGTGGCTAAAGTTGGAGAGTGCCTGCGTAACCAAAATAAATAAACAAACAAATAAACAGAAAGCAAGGGGGGGAGGGGAAAGAGAGAGAGAAACTCAAAAGCATAACCCACAGTGAGAACTGGTAGTATTTGCCCATTTCTGTAGTTGTCTCAATTCACACAGATTAAATTTAACCCAAAGTGACTGCACAGTCACCATATGCTACAACCAACTCTTCACTTGGTTAAATTCTAGAGCCACATTCTAAAGTTCCAAACAGTTTTCCTCTGCCAACAGAAAAACAACAAGGCCCTCTGATGTGAGCAATATTTATTATGATGATGCTTGGGCTTCCTGCATTTTAGTCAATAATTTTTAAAAAGATTATTCAAATTTATTGATTACTGTGTTTATCATTAGTTTAGAATGTCCATAAGCCAAGTGTACCCAAATACTGTCTACTCTGGAAGCAAAATCCACAGGACTGAAGTTACAGATCTGCAGACACTATAGCCTGCAGAAACAAAAGTCCTCATTGCTTAGCTTTTCCTTTGTCCTTTTCCCCACCTCCCAAGGCAGGCCTGAAAGTTCATCTGTACTATCTGTACAGAGCTGAAGTTCAATTTTAGGGGAAAGAGGAAGAGGAGGTAATTCTGGTTCTGGGCCCTCTTAGAAGTCTACTTGACATCTTGTGATATTGGTGGTTTAATGCCTGTGTCTTCGAAGTATTCAACTCCTTCAGAAACTTGAGAGAAGAGTAACACCCTCAAATCTCACTAGTGGCCAGTGGGATTCAAATGATGCCAAGGTGGAGGAGGGAGGGCCACGAGTAAGGCTACTTCAATCACTCACATCTGCTTGTACCAGCCAGGGTCTGTAAGATGTCAGATAGCTCAGTCTCTCCTAACAGCAGATGGCTCACAAAACACTCGCCATGACTGTTGGACCTAGAAGCTCCACTATTCCAGCTACTCATAGCATATCTGTAATATTCAGTCCATGCGACTTTGTGCCCCTAACAATTATTAGTAGCATTCTGATTACCTCACAACACATGCAATTTACAAGAGAGAACTTCTTATGTACTAGGTAACAATACTTCAAAACTAGGACAAGGTTTTGTTTTTATTTCCTTTAAATTCTGAAAAGCTAGCAGTTGGGTCAAGTACTTGAAGAGACTACCTGGAAAACATGGCATTATCAAAATTGAAGCTTGAGTGTAAAATCAGACATGAGTACGTCTTTCAAACCTGAACAATGGGCAGACTTCTGCACTTTAACAGAAAAGTCAGTACTATATTATTCTTGCTAAATGGGAAAAAAAAAAAACTGTAATGGAACCACACTTACAATGAAGTGCCCCTGCCCCCCTCCACACACATCAAGCTTTGGAATGCATCTTTTCCAGTGAAAAGAGAAGCTCAGAGTCCACAGTCTGGGACCCCATTACTCACTAGCCACTTCAGCCCATCTACAGTGGAAGTATCATGAAGACTGCCCCAAGGCTTAAGCAAGAGAATGCAAAGTGACTTGCAGTTTCACAGCAGTGGCAGAGCACTGGATCAACAGGCCTAATAGTGAGAGTCCAGCAGAAAAAGAATGAGTATTGTACACCTCACCTCATATTTTACAGACCCCTATGGTATATAATCCTCTTTTGCATGTATGAATTTTTAAAAATTTGTAGTAAAGCAGAATGGTACAATTGACATTTATTTTGTCAAATGTTTTATTAGTAGTTTACAATAATTTTCAGTCACTAAATTGAAATACCTAAAGGTATTCTTATATAAAGAAAAGTATGCTGCATCAAACAACCAAATTAAAATAATGTGTTCATGTTTTAAATTAGTAGTAATACTTCAAAAGTATCCCAAAGTGATACCTTTGTCTTTTAGCACAAAGCACTCAGCAGAGATAAGCAAGCCAAACAGTTCTAGTAAAAAATGTGACTGCATTCATTTTCATGACACGGATTAAAGAAAAAGAGATCAATGATAATCTAGGGTTCTTTTGATGTATAACACAGACATTGAACAGGCACTGTGGGCATAATGGAATAGCAAACCAACATGTACTTCTCACTGCTTGTTATGAAATGCACTTTTCCTCCTGTTTGGGCCATTTCTCCACATCTATGCCGTTCAGACACACCCCAACCACAGTGGCCACATAAGGATCTCCCAGATAAGCCTGCAACCCTGGCCCCTGACATGGTGGATGCTCTACCCAAGTGACACGATAGGCTTAATAATTAGTCCTAAAAAATATTTTAAATCCTCAGGAAAACATCATTCTATTACATATTTTTGTAAAACTCTGTTCATTTCCTTTTTATGGAGAAATTGCCCAAATTTCAAAGGCAAACCCTCCAAATAGAGGCTGGAGAGTGCTAGATACACAACAAGCATTGGGTGGTCTTAGTTGCATGGGTTAATGTAAACTGGAATGATGTCATTCTTATAGAGTCTGTAACGATTAAATGAAGCAGAGAATCTGTGCAGCCGACAGGGCTGCAAACTCTTCCTATCAGCTTGCAGACAGAACAGGTTTACTGTGGGGAACAGATGCAGAATTCTACAGGGTCTACTGGGTCCTAACCATAGTGTCAGCACCCCACCCCCAGGAGAGAGAAATAACCTCAGGATATGTTAATAGTACTGGACTTCTAGGCTTAACAAAGACCTTCCTAGAAATGTCAAATAGCAGCTCTTAGACTAAATGCACAGGTCAGTCAGGTATGATGTCTCACAGTCTTTGTTGAAGACAGAACAGACCTTTCTTGCTAGCCTGACTCTATCTAGGTGAACAAGCTGTGGGTGGCATGACTAAGGATCAACAGGATTCTCAACATTAGAAACATCTTAACTGTGCACTGGACACTGATAATTCCTCTATGCCTGAGTCTGTAAATCACCCAGCCACACTTATGTATCAAAGTATCATCAGTTCTGGAGAACAAAGAGACTAGGACATATGAGGGAAAGAACGAATGGGGCTGATGGGACAGCTCCAGCAGAGATGTAAGGGAGCCTGGGGGAGGGGAGGGAAGAGGAGAGGAGGGGAGGGGGACAAGCTTCATGTGGATGAGGGAAGAGTGGGAAACAGGAGGTGGGCTGTAAGCAGGTGATGGCCTTGGATGGCTAAACTACAGCCTGAGAATCAGTTTGATGGGTACTAAATTATTACTGAAAGTTTCTGACCAGAGGATTACTTATATAAATTAGCGTAGAGCCATCAAAGAAGTGACAGAGAGAAGGAGTATGACCTCCTCATTAAGGTGCTTTGGGAAGAATCATGAGAAGAGAAGACGGGGGCTGAAGTCAGATACCACGGTTGGAGCAACAATTCTGCCTTTGCTAACTGTGCAACCATGAGCAAATTATAACCTCTCTGGGGTTTAGTCTCTTTCTCTACCCATTAAGAGAAACAATCTCGTCAGTCTGCTGTAAGGACAACAGGAGTTAATAATCTACAGAGCTGGGAATGGTGCCTCCTCACAGTGCTCGTTAAAGACCAGCCACTTTCTTCTGAAATAAATTTTTTTTTTTTTTTTGGGTGGAACTGGGGTTTGAACTCAGGGCCTCACCTTGCTAGGCAAGCACACTCATCACCTGAGCTACTCTGCCAGCCCTGGGCTTCTGAGATAAGATGGAAATGGGGAAACAGCAAGGAAGGGCTGTGTGGGAAAGGAAAATGCAGAGCTCTGATGATGACCAACTGCTAAAGAAACCTGAGGAATGGCGGATGCTGATGAATACAAATTAGCAAAACAGATGGATGAAGTCTGAAGGCTTCACTAGGGCTTGCTGTGCCACCTAAAGATAGATGCCAGAAATAGGGCTTCAGAAGGACGTTCCAGCTCATTCTCATGCCTGGGGTGATGTGGGGAATGTATGTGGCATGTACATAGCTAGGGCAGTCACTAGTTCCCGGGCTCATCCCCAAAGCTACCTTTCAGGCTGGTGTTAAGGATAAACTGCACTGCCTGTGAACGACTCTAGATTCCCATTGTGAGATGTGGTGGCTGGTCTCTCCACAAGATTATAAACTCTGTAAATCTGTACATGTACCTGCTGTGGACTGAACAAGTACAAACACAGAGGGCTACAGGTGCCCAGCATCTCTTCTAGAAGCTCAGGTTACTCCATAAGTTATGGGCTATACTTGTGGATGATTAATACGTACTGGAGAACAAGCAGCAACCCTGATGCTGTCTGGTCAGACCAGCAAGCTTGTCTCAGGAAGCAAACAATGACTCCTTAAGCTGTCACACTATTGCACACCATGCACGGCTAAGTGTGACTGCTAGGTGTGTAAATACAAGCATAAACACTTCTGCAGAACGGATCTGTGGGATGTTTGTACATGACAAACAAACAAGTAGTTATGTTTTTATGTTGGACACTAAAAGAGAATCTAGTATCAATGAGGCCAAACAAAGCACAAAACTAAATTTCAGCAAAAGCTGACTCAAACAGGAATTGAATCCTTTCTAAGTCAGATACAAAATTACCTAGAAGGTATTATTTTAGAAACACAACTTACATATTCACATATGTACCTAAGAACAGAGGACGTAATGTGTGAGTACAGACGTACATGGGGACACATGTGCGTGTATAAACAGCAGAGTATATGTATGTTAAGATACCCAGCTTGGGCCCTTGGAAGATGCTTTCTCCTCAACCTTCCTTTCCTCCATCTTCAACATTTTTAGATGGAAAAAAGGCACATATATTTTGAAAGCATACCAAGAAAAGTAAAATAGTTAAGACAAAAGCTTATGTAAGTATCTTAACTATATTAAAAAATAATATCCAAACACCATTTAAAAATGTTTTACACTTGAACTACAAAAACCAATAAACAAAGTATACACTGTTAAATCTGGCTAAATTACAAAGACAAATGATAATGGCAATTCAAAAGTTAAAATTTTCATTCTAAATATGACTAACATGACAGTTAAATTAAAAAATAACTTGAAATTCTACATAATTTACTGGTGAGTAATCTGGCATTTCACATATGTCTCTTCTAAAATTAAAATTTACTCAAAAACTATCTGATGGTAAATCATGCAAATCTTTTATAAGCTGCTCTAGAATGAAGCAATCATACTAAAATGGAGGGACATCCGTGACGTTCCTGTCCCTGTGCTCCAGATCTCTATTCCGAGCCCTTACCTGATACAGAGACTGTGTGTGTCCGCACGCCTTGCTTTTCGCTGTTGGCCAACCTGCAACAGATGAGAGAAAGTAAGTGCTGCCCTTCCAAGGACCATCCTCGCAAGGATGACAACCTTGGACTAGGACACCAATGCCATCACCCGCAAAATTACACTGGAGATATGGTTTATTTTCTTTTTTTTCATTTTTCTTTTATTATTCATATGTGCATACAAGGCTTGGGTCATTTCTCCCCCCTGCCCCCACCCCCTCCCTTACCACCCACTCCGCCCCCTCCCTCTTCCCCCCACCCCATCAATACCCAGCAGAAACTATTTTGCCCTTATTTCTAATTTTGTTGTAGAGAGAGTATAAGCAATAATAGGAAGGAACAAGGGTTTTTGCTGGTTGAGATAAGGATAGCTATACAGGGTATTGACTCACATTGATTTCCTGTGCGTGGGTGTTACCTTCTAGGTTAATTCCTTTTGATCTCACCTTTTCTCTAGTACCTGTTCCCCTTTTCCTATTGGCCTCAGTTGCTTTAAGGTATCTGCTTTAGTTTCTCTGCGTTAAGGGCAACAAATGCTAGCTAGTTTTTTAGTTTTTTTGGCAGTACTGGAGTTTGAACTCAGGGTCTTACAGTTGCTAGGCAGGTGCTCTGCCACATGAGCCATCCTGCCAGCCCATATGTGATATTTTTAAATTTGGATTCTACTTCCTGAGGTACTTAACATGACAGGCTGCTTTAATGCTTCAAAGATCAGAAATTAAAATATGCAACTGGGATGTGGGTGCAGTGCAGTTCAGTGGAAGACCACTTGCCTAACGTGTGCAAAGCACGGGGCTCCACACTAGCAAAAGAAATGAAGCTAATCAATTAATTACAAAAATAAGACAACTGAAGAGCTGATGAAGTGCTCTGAGAAAGCTACTCACAACAGTCACTTAAACCATGCAATGGTGTATATAGGTTATACAAAATTTTGCTTCTAAATGCTAGGCTGAAAGAGACTGCACACAAGTTAAAAGAAAAAGCCATACACCTGGAACTGAATTTTGTTCTCTAAAACATATGGAAGCCATATAGCATGAGTGGTCCTTCTTAAACTTATAGCATGTAAAAAAAAAAGTCAGGAAGTACATTAATATGTATTATTGTTTACGGACTGAAAAAAGTAATCTTAACATAGCTGGTTAATGAAATGAGTCAAAGATATTATTATTTTATGTATTTACTTGCATAAAATAATTTTGGGTAAAAATTTTGGTGACATTTAAAAAAATGCAAGCAGAGTTTAAATTTTTTTTTGGAAAGCACAAACACACTGAAAAGGAACATCGTAAGCTTTCAATGTTAATTGTCTTGGTCTTTTTTATTAAAAAAACCTCACTTAAGGGGCTGTCAGAGTGGCTCAAGTGGTAAAGTGCCTGCCTAGCAAGCACAAGGTCCTGAGTTCAAAAAAAAAAAAAAAACCCTCACCTAGGTCCACAGCATTTACCATAGAAGTACTGAATGGAAATTCTTCCTAAAACACAGAATTGATAATAGGAAATATCTGAACTTGAAATACTAGATTTGTTTGAGAACTAGAAATATTCTACATGAAACTACTAAACCTCTATAATTAATAATAACATAAAGCATAGAATTAAGTACTTTAATAAATCCTGCAAATATCTGAAATCTTTTATCTTTAAAAATTTAACTGAGGTTATTTTCTAACAAGTTAGTTTCTCTCCTATTGTGGCTATAAGATTTAGCACAGCCACCACTGAGGTGTATTCACTGAGTTGTCATGGTGCCCCCTTATAAGGGGACTACATTGATTGCTTCTGTATACTGTAGCCTAAACACTGGGTCTTCCTGGCCACACAGAATTCTTGCTGTCACTACCACCAGTCTTCCCAGCTGGCTTGAGCTCATCAGTAGCTTGACTGCCGCTCAAAGATTGTGAAACTACCATTCTTTTAAAGTTTACTTTATTACTTAGTTTTTCCAGTGTGTTAACAACTTGTAACTTACTGCCTTCTTCACTCATTTTTAGATCTAGGCTTATGATTCCTGTGTCATAATTTCCCAAATCATTCCTAACTTGTTCAACTGAAGATACCATAAGCAAGCACAAGGTGCTGGCCAGACGTGAGACACCATTCAGTGTCTCTCCGACAGTGCTGAGTGTGACTCACTTCCTCAGAGCCAGGAGAAACTGCTGTGCCCATCCCTTCCTCTCCCTCACATCTCTGGCACACTGATCAGGTACGCATCCTGCTAATGCCTGCATGAGTTGCACAGGAGCTCCATGGCCATAAGAGTGGAGGGTGTGCAGACCAAGAGGACATTTTCAAAGCGTGGTAAGTACTGAGCAGATGTTATGTTACAGGAACAAAAAAAACAACTGCTCAAGGCAAGATGAGTGAGCAGAGAACAGCTGGGCAAGCCCCTGCAAGCTAGGTGAAGGATGCTGGAACTTGTCCAAAGAGCACAGCAAGTCAGCCAAGAGTTTTAACTCAAACAGTCCCTGGAACTGTATCAAGAAAGGACAGAATGATGAACAGAACTAGACAGCCTCCAGGTATAGCAGGAGGTACGCAGACATGAATTGACAACCTGCTTACAAGGTTGGCTTTAGCAAGGGCCTGGGGACTTGGATTTGAGGAGGAGTTTCCACCATCCCCTGGCTGGTAAGGGTGGCTCGATGGGCTTAAACTGCTCACATACAATGTGGCTTATGCTGGGCTCCTGCTATTTTTCTGGGAGGCTGGCCTTCCAGTACATGCCAGGTACAGGTGCGCATGCAACCGGCCTCTCTAAAACCCTCGGTCACCAAGTCTGGATGGGAAACAACTTCATGCTTCTGTCCCTAACTCATGCTGGAGACCTCAGCATGCCTGTGGGACGCCACTGCAATGGGCCCTCAAAAGCTTGCTTCTTGGCTTCCTTGGACTCCAAGGACATATTCTTGCCCTTGGCTGTAATAAATCACAATTGTGCACATGACCACACACTCAGTTTGGAATTCTAGAGAACTGCTGGACCTAGGTGGTCTTGGGGGTCCCCAAAATGGGATATACTAGAGTGGCCCCATGAGGTGACAACGAGAAGGTGGTGATGTGCATGATCTGGTGCATTTAAGATGTGGAAGTGAGCCGAGTTCAGTGGCTCACTATTCTAATTCCAGCTACTTGGGCAGCTGAGATAGGGAGGATTGAGGTTTAAGGCCAGCCCAGGCAAACAGTTTGTGAGACCTCCATCTCCAACCTAACAAGAGCAAAACGGGACTGGAGGTGTGGCTCAAATGGTAGAGTGCCTGCTTTGCAAGCACAAAACCCCGAGTTCAAACCTCAGTCCCACAAGGAAAAAAAAAGGCAGCAAAAGTGGACCTTGGAGAAGGGAGAGAGTACAAAGATGAGCCCCAGTTTGACAGCCTTTTTTTTTTGGTATTGGGTATTGAACCCAGGATTTCACCTACACTAGACAAGTGCTCTACCTCATAAGCTATGCTACACTCCAGGTCCTTTTCAGTTTTTGTGTTTTGTTTCTGAGTTAGGGCACTGATCCTTTAGGAGGTCTCAGACTGTGACCTTCCTGCCTCCTCTCATGAACAGTGAGGATCACAGGTGTGTGCCACCAAACACAGCTGATTCTTTTCAACCCTATGCCTCCACGTCACCATTCCTCCTCGAGTGCCTCGAGCACTCAGAGCACCTGTGAGCACCTCCCACATGATTTCCTCACCTGTGTGCCTGAATGGCTAGAGTTTAACTTCTTTATCTTAGCCCCTCAGATCCTAGCACGCTGGCAAAGAACACAGAAACAACAGCACAAATTTTCAGCATTACTGTTTGACTTAACTTTGTAGACTAACATGCCTACTATGAATTTGTGACATAAACAAGTAAAATCATCACCTAAATTACTTTTATTTAATTTTCCTACTTGTGAAAATAGCCAGAATGGTACCTATTTTCAGGTTCCTATAAAGGTCCGTGTTAATGATATAAAAGGAATTGTTTTGGCAGTACTAAGGCCTGAACCCAGAGCCTTATGCTTGCTAGCTAGGCACTCTACTACCTAAGCCAAGCATCCAGGCTGCCCCTCCCCCCTTTTTTGCTTTAGTTATTTTAGAGGTAGGGTTTTTGTTTGGGATGGCCTGAACTGCAATTCTCCTACAACAGCCCCCGCTTATAGCTGGGACCACAGGCATGTATCACTGCACCTGGCTTATTGGTTGACATGAGATTGTGTTAACTTTTTTACCTGGGCTGATCTCTGAATCCTGTGTAGTGAGGATTACAGGCATGAGCCACTATGCCCACCCTAAAATGTTTTAATTGAAATTAAATCCTTCATTTATAACTGTTTTGACTTCTTTCTAGAATTATTTATTTTTCTAAGTCTTTAATCATTGATAGAGAAATTTTTTTTTCAGAATAGTGAATGATAAAGTACAATGGCATCCTTAAAATTTCCAAACAAACTGAGTAATATATGCATGAAGTAACACTTACTTTGGTATTGATGGCAATGCCCGTTCACCTTCTGGGGGAAAGAAAGGAGAAAGAGAGGTGAGGCTCCTCGTATTTCTTCTGAGAAGACTATGCATGTAAGTCCAGTAGGAAGGATGAGCCTTGCTCTGGTACTTTAGTGAAAATCACTTAAGAAGCCACAGCACGGTTTCTGTCTTGCCCTTTATGGCTCTATGTCCAATACTCACAGAAAACATTAGCTGTTAGGTACATATTGTTTAAAAGGTACTGTAGAATCATAATAAAGAACTGGCAAACAGAGCAAAGATCTCTTTCCCAGGAGACTAAAACATGAAGGATTTCTTAAAACCCAAGCAACATGCCTTGCCAAAGGCCCTAACAAACTATGGTTTGAAAAAAAAAAAAAACCCAAAAAAAACCCATTCACTACCAACACCATCAAAACCTATGCAGGAAGCACAGGTGTGGGGGCTGCCAGAGGAACTAATGTATCAGGCAAAACCAGGCAGCAGAGTATGGCAGGCAGTCATCCATGGAAGGTGCAGGTGGCTTCTAGCTGAGGACAGCTCCATCCCTTTGGCCACAGTGACTAGGTCTTGTGGGCTCAATCCCAGAAAATCTCAGGATTTTGCTCAATGACTAGAAAGCTGTGTTCTCCATCTCTCTCTCTGTGAACCAGTAAACACTGAGCCCTCCCTGGTTTCTAACATTTCAAATGCTATTTGATTTTCTCAATACATCTGAGTACCTCTTGATACAATATATACTTTGTTGCACATATACACACACACATATATATTTGTCTACTAGTTTACTTATTCTGTTTATTGTAAATCTATTTATACCCCCGTGGCATTTCCCTTCTGCTGGCTCCTTCAACCTGGCCTCTGTACAGTTGAGCCCGGAAAGGGGCAGGTGCTCAACAACCACCTTATGAGCCCATGAGGCATCTGGCTGAGAACCTTCCCTCCAAGCCCCACTTTCTGCTAGTCCCAGGTCCTACTGGACACCACACCTCCCTGAAGGTACCCTCCTTACCTTGAAAGTAGCTTTTTGAAATGTGGAAACATCATTCCTTCTTAGCAATACTCTGAACCTTAATTCAAGCGCACCATCTACAGGGGCCCTATCTGTGGCATTTAGCCACAGAAGACTATTACAAACTGCTCATCTGCTCAGCATTGTCCCTAAGATGGCTCACAGTCCATTGAGAAGCATCTTCTTCCTTCACTACCAAGTACCAATCAGCCTGGGGCTCCCAGGTGACTTACTCTTTCTGGATCACAGTTTACTCACATACAACTCAGGTCCTACTACTAAATGTGCAGGTGTCACTGCAAGGCCTAGATAACGCTGCAGGCGTGTAAGCCAGTGCATCTGCTCGCTGTTGAGACTCCCAGTTTACAAAAGGAACATAACCAAACCCCACCACAAACACCAAATTTACATAATGGAAAAAGCCTGATTGTGAAGTTTATTATCCCTCCAACACTATCACCACCATCTGACACCTAACACTGATAATTACTCTTTGTTGAAATTTCTACTTCCTATGAGAGAGAAAGAAACCGGCTATTTCACTGTGGATAGCGCAGCCTTCCTAAGTAGCCAGACGTGGGCAAAAGGAGACTGTAAATGAGGAACAACCAACTGAAGGATTGTGAGACAGCAAACTTCCACAAAGTAAGTATCCTATACATGAGACTGTGAAACACCCTAAATGAAATCTCAAGTATGTTATGTATCAAACTTTTAAAAATATACCCACAGTTCTACTAAAACTCTTTATTGGAAGGAGAAAGAAAGACAGAGGCTATGAGGGAGGGCAGGGGAAGTTTTGTTGCATTATTCTATACTTTTTAATGTTTTGAATATTTCACTCTAATATTTTCTTAAGTAGTCGTGCTAAAAAACCCCCAAAAAACCAAAAAAAAAAACAGGGCGAAGTATGTAATTCAGGGGTAAAAAGCTTACTTAGCATGCATAATGTCCAAGGTTTCATCCCCAGTACCACAAAAAAAGTCATGTAATATACAAAATTGCTATGATTCAGAATAAGCTATCTATCAAGCATAATAACTCATTGTATAAAAACAGTATAAAATTGGTAGCAATCAATGCCTGGACTTCGTGACCAGCACATTCGCACTCATGTTCTTCCATGGGAAAGGAACTTGTAAAATGATTCTCCCTAAGGGGCAGAAAGCTAAAGAACTGTGAAATCAGCACAAGGGGAGGCTGAGCTTTAGTCTTGGAATGGCTCAGAGCACACAAAATATACTGATACAGGACACTGGCAAATTAGAATGACATTCAGAGAATTATTTATTAAGAAGGAGACAGGCAATCTGCTACATTAACATGGGCCCCAAAGCATTATCTTTCTGTAGGAATTCTCTAAACATTTAAGTGACATTTGCAAGGTACTCCTGTTTAAAGCATGAAGTGAAAAATCAAGTGCTCACAGCTCAAAGGCTTTACTGAGGGGAGCTTCAGACATTTCTGAAAGCGATTTCATCATGACATTTCAGATAAAGAAAACTTCAACAAAAATGTACATGCACATTTTAGAAAAAACCAAATAGGCATTACTGGGAAAACACTCTGCCTGATGCTCCATCTCCTGGCACCATGCAGAAGGTGGTCAATGAGTTACTTGTGGCTGTGGTTTCAGAGCACAACGTCACCACCTTTTAAACACAGGGGCCTACGACTCAGGTTGAAACACTCACCCACACTCATGTGCACACGCCCTACTCCATACCCTGTCCATCCCCACAGCACTTCCCTGCCTGGTAGGGGCTTCCAGCCCTTGTCATCTGTTTCACCTCATGTAGCTCTCTGCCCTGGTCATCAGCTTGCTGGACACACATCACCCAGGGTATGAGGATCTTTATGATCACCCTGGTCACCGAGGTCAGCTCAAGAAGGGGCCTCAGCAATGGAGGCAAACTGCATGTACACAGGGTCCACCTGCACAGTGAGAGCTGACTCAAAGTCAAGGTTGATGGAGTGTGTCACGATCTCACCACCACCAGGAGACACAAGGGGAACAACAACAATATAGCACAGATGAGCTTGAGCCCTGCGCTGCCAGCACCTTTCTGTACTTTAAGTATTCTGGTTCCACAAAAGACAAGTGCTGATCTCTACTTTATGGAGTTTACAGACAGGAGCACCAATAGGTTCACAATATAAGCTTATGAACTGATCAAATCCAATTTCCACGCTCTTCTTGCTTCCCACCACACACGTGTCCTGCCAGGACACCTTCACTTGATTATTTCAGAACTCCAGGTTGTCAGTGACACCCTCTGCTCTATGCTGGCAAGCTTCCCTCACGTCTGCTCTGCAGTGACACAGTCTTGTTTCTAGGATATTTACTCACACTAGTCTTTGATTTCACATAATGACTTAAAATTATTTTCTTCTACTATTCTAAGCTTTTGAAATATATAGGAAAAATAAGGAGACCTTATTTAATGTAAATTACAAGGGGCACCTTTTAAAACTCAGACTATAATCTCAAAAGTTTATTTAAAACTACTAATGGCAACTTAAAAAACACTCTTAAGTTGCTCAAAACATGATACTATAAACACAGACAAGGTTGTCTTTGCACTCTATTCTAGCCAGTGTTTGGTTTGGATGTCCTCGTTCACTGTCCCCAGAAAAACAAGCATCCAGATGATAGGGGCTGAGCAAATCACCCAGCTTTCACATTTACACCATTACAGAAATGAAGAACAGAGCCTCACCTTTCTGGGGTCTGATGATGAAGGACTGCGTGGCTCTGTTCACCAGTCGGCAGTATCCATCTATCAGGTCAGCCATGTTCTCTGCTATAGTTAAGGACGGTGCTGTCACTGTCAGAGGCTAAATGGGAAAGACCAAGAAAGAGACATTATTGTTCTTCCCAGTAATCAAAAGGACAGCTGTGCCATGACATCAGACTTCTAAAAACACTTGGAAACAAAGTGGGAGTGAAACAAGATCTGTCAGAAGATTTGAGGGAAGGAAGTTTGATGTTCAAGAACATTACTTCCAGGACATATGAAAGACAAACTCAGAGAAAAAAGAAAGCCACTTAAACAAAAGGAGGTAGGAAAGAGATTTTTATTTTCATTAAAAAGTCTCACCCTTTAACACACTCTAAGAGAAGAATTTAATCAGTAAGTTAAGGCCCAAGTTGTTTTAGGAGTGAGACTAACGTGGAGTAAATCTTTATCAACTATCCATCACTATTTTTTAAAACAGCATTAAAGAACAATGATAAAATTTCATTATTTTTAGCATGCATAGCATGTTCTGGCCAGAAGCTTAAACGTTACTCTCTCAGCATCAAGCATGTTCTTCTATGAGATATGTCTGTTAACCAAGAGACAGTAAAAACGATTTTATTTTCAAATATAAACATGTATGTCCTAACTCATGTGTCTATCCCTAATCTCCTTTCATATGAATGACTTCTCGCACCTGTGTCACCCTAAGTGTTATTTTGTGAATACGAAAGTGAAAGAATAAACCAGGTGTAGTGCTTCAGATCTGTTAATCACAGCACTCGGGTCACAGAGGCAAGAAGATTCTGAATTCAAGGCCAGCCTGGGCTACATAGCAAGACCCTACCTCCAGAATAAATAAATAAATAAATAAAATAAAAGCACAACTTAAAATGAAGGTGGAACCTCATTACTGAAACTGGTATAGGAAATTTAGATTTGTAACAAGTTTTCCATATTATGTAGTGATCAATAACACATTTCCTAGAGCCTCAGACATCACCGAAGTCACAGGATCACAGAGCAGACCAAGTGACAAAGTGAGAAATGCTGCAACTGCTATGGGACAGGAACTCCAGACAGGGTGCTTTATGGTCACAAAACTGTGCCACCCAAGGCTTCCTTGTCAGTGTGCTCTATCCTGCTTCCAGAGTGGCCATACAGGAGACCCACCGTGGAAAAGCCATACATGCTCAGGAGGCCTAGAGTTCACCACTGTCCTATGGATGCTCGATTAATTTCCCAAAACACTACCCAACTTCCACTAAAGACATGCCACTTTCAACAAATTTAAATTCTCACTTCATTAAGCACAGTAACTTTGACCTTGCTCTTTGGGCAACATGTGCTTTTTCAGAGGCAGATTTTAATGAAATCAAGAGCAGGAAAACACTCAGCAGAGCACACAATTCAAACACAACTGACGGTAATGCAAGACTGAGAGCTTCTCTGCATGCTAAGAGGTCTGATGCAAGCAAGAGAATTAAAAATGTTTGTTTTAGAAATGTCTTTGGTATGTATGTATTTATTATTTTGACTGGGCTTGGTCAAGACCGCAGGTAATAAATCTGCAAGTAAGGAAGGTGGGCCTCCTTTGCTACGACATACTCACCAAGTGGGAATTTTTCGTGCCACTTCTTTCTTTTTCTGTCTGTCTCTCTTTTCATTGTAGTTGATGGTTTTTTTTTTTTTAAGACAGGGTCTTACTATGTAACCCAGGCTAGATTTGAACTCATGATCCTCCTGCCTCAGCCTCTGAGTTCTGGGATTACAGGTGTGCACTGTTAGTACTGTTGCCCAGTGACTGAAAATACAGTCTATGGATCCAGACTGCTAGCGTGTGAACTTCCTCTCTACCAATGACCACGGCCTTACCACAGTCCTCACCTACACAATGGGGTTAACCAAAATAGATCAAAGTCCCTACTTTGCTTGGTTGTGAGAGTGTCACATGGCCTATCACAAGTATTACTGCCCACGCACACAGCAGAGCTCGGGAAGCAGCATTCATAACAACCTCTTCATCTTCACAGTAATGCTGATTCTTATAATGGGTCTCCTATCCTATTTGGGAGCACATGGACTACTGTCTGCAATGTAGCCCTTTCATGTATGAGAAACTCTACCACCTTCTGGTCTTCCCTTCTGCGTGGCTGTGGGTCCCCTTACCTCAGGCGCGCCTGCAATTTTGAGCTGCAGCATTCCTTTCCTGTCCTTGTCTTCGCTGCTTGAATACTGAATGGTCTGCACTTGGTTGAAGTCGGCCAGATGTGTGGGCTTTGGAAAGGAGAGACAAGATGCTCAGAGCACAGGTGGAAGTCTTGCTGCGCTGGCTCTGTTAACTGTTCTTTGAGACGCTTGAGGTCCCGACCCCAAAAATTCTCTTGAAGGCACCCTCCCCAAACTGGAGGGTCTCCACACAGCGCACAAAGGAGCAGTTGTGCAACCGTCTCCGGGGGTAGGCAAAGCACAATTTCTCCAGAGAGGGGGAAGAAGAAGGGAAGCAGAAAGAACCCTTACTGTGACCCACTTGCCAGCCAGGTCTGCAACTCATGGTTGTAGTGGACACACTGTTCCCGTTCTCACAGACCCTGCACTGTGCTTGACTAAATTCTCAAGTGGACTGAAGCTTCACACTACGATGGAGCTAGGGAGGCAGGAGGTATGCACAGGCCCCATCCTGCACAGACTGAACTCTGGACCTGCCTGGAGAGGCTACGGTCATTTTTTCCATTAGATTAAATGCCACTTTTTCTTCTTAGAAAAAAAAAATACATGTGTCTTCCATCTTCCTGGGTTTTACCACCACAAATCATTCTGCATGTGCTGATTCCCACCCACTTCTTCCAAAACAATGAGTTTACTTAAAGCCACTTTTTTTTTTGTTGGGGGGAGAGAGTACTGGGATTTGAACTCAGGGCTTTGCACTTGCTAGGCAGGTGCTCTACCATTACCCCTTGAACCACACTGCCAGCCTAAAGCCCTTTCTTAGCATTGTACAAGGTATTAGCATGTCCACGTCCCACAGAAGACAGAAGATGCCACTGGGCCTGTCTGGGCTCAGAACCAGTGTCCTTCCCAGCAAAGCGCCTTCCTTGTCTTCAGGCGCCATCTACCTTCCCCAGACCACAGGTAGTTTCTAGGTCCTAGGCTTCTCTGCAGCATGGATGCTCTGCACATTCAACTCTCCTGACCTCCAGGCAGGCCATCTTTCGCACTTGAGGTGTCCGCTTACTATACTGGTCCCTTTTCACTGTTCCTCTGCCCGGCTTCTCCATTCCCCTCCAGCTGCCCCATACCATCTAGTCTGACAGAGTTAGGTGACCTCTCTAGCCTTGACATCTCCCTGGAACTTGGACTCACACACCCAACAACCTACAAGACAGCTCTAAACAAAAAAATTACAAACTTAACACAGTCGAGCCATGTTCTGCCTCCAGGATTCCCCACTTGGTAAAAAACATCATATTTAACCAGATTGCTGACCGTGTAGTCACGATTCCTCTCTTTCACATGCACATCTACGCAGCTCTCAACAAGTCCTCACACCCTCAGTGCAAAGATGCCCAGGATGCACTCACTTCACCAACACAGGTGTCGCTCTCACCCAGTGCCACGCATACATCATGTTGAGAAAACTGCAATGCTTTCCATCTGGTTTCTTATCACCTGTGCTTGACCCTTATAATTCACCACCCTACCTACAGGCAGGAAGATTTTTTTTTTTCGTTTTTTTTTTTTTGTGGTGCTAGGGCTTGAATTCAGGGCCCATACCTTGAGCCACTCCACCAGCCCCCACACACCACTTTTTCTTTTGTGAAGGTTTTTTCAAGATAGAGTCTTTTGAACTATTTGCCCAGGCTGGCTTCAAACCGCAATCCTCCTGATCTCTGCCTCCTGAGTAGCTGGGATTACAGGCGTGAGCCACTGGAGCCCAGCTATGGAGATACTTTAAATGTACACGAGAGCCGGGCACAGTGGTTCAAGCCTGTAATCCTAGCTAGTTGGGAGGTGGAGATCAAGAGGATTATGGTTCGAGGTCAGCCTAGTCAAAAACAAAAGTTCATGAGACCTTATTTCAACAAGTGGCTGGGCTTGGTGGTGTGTACCTGTCATCTCAGCTACCTGGAAGATAGTGGTCCAGGCTGGCCCAAAAATAAACAACCCCTGCAAAAAACCCAAAACAGTCAGATCATATTATTTCTCTGCTTTATTCCTCTTGAGCCACACTCCTGGCAATTTTTGCTTTTAAGCTATTTTACAGGTAGGCTCTCAAACTTCTGTCAGCTTCAGACCTCAATTCTCCTACCTATGGCCTCCTGCGAGTAGCTGAGATTACAAGCACATACCACCACACCAGTTTATTGACTGAGATGGTATCTTGCTAACTTTTTGTCCAGGAGGTCTTGTAATGTGTACCTCCCAATCTCTGCCTCGCCAGTAGCTACGATTACAGTGGCAAGTTACCAAGTCCAGCCAGTTTCCCTACATTAAAAGCTACAAAGCAAGCACAATATCTTATGTGTTTTGTGTGGCGAGACATCCTCTCCCTGTCTCTCTGACCTCATTCCCTACTGTGATCTTTCCCCGAGATGTGCTCTAGTCTTGCTGGGCAAAATCATCACAGTGGGTGACCAACTACTAGAAGAGCAAAGAATGAAAGATGGCTAGAGTGGCTAAAGGTCACTATGTGTGAAGTTCCCTCACAATGCGTGAGGAGCTGTCCTAAATGTCTTTCCCATCCCTTGGTAAGTAGATGTTAGTGAGAGATATGACCCTAGAATTTAAAACATTTAAAACAAAGCATGGTCGGTACTTATTTTCCAGGAATGCAATTTATGTGTAACTGAAGGGTGTGATGGTGAATGCCTATAATTTCCAAAACTCAGGAGGCTGGGGCAGGAGGATTGCAAATCTTAGGCCAACTTGGCTCAACAACAAAAAAAAAAAAAAGAAAGAAAGTGGGGGTGGGGTGGGGGTGCCTGTGGATGTAGCTCAGTGGCAGAGTGCTTGTCTAGCATGTCCAAGGCCATGAGTTCAAACCCCATCACCAAAGAACATGTTTCCAGTTTAGGAAGCATTCAAATTCAAAGTGAAGCATAGTTTACTATGACACACTGTGCTATCTGTGGCATTCCATGGCACATGACATCATGGAGGGCAAGGCTAGCTGTGATATTCTAGCCACTGACAGCTCAAATTTGTAGCAACTGCATGTGCATGTGTAGCAGAACCCTGAGACTCCTAACAGGTGCACAGCCAAGCACTGTTAAGTTAGTGGCAGTTCCAGGTAAGAGGAAAAGAGGAGGAGCTCAGCTCCTGCTACTGCTACCTCTCTCTTTTTTTTTCCCTGAGGATCAAACTCAGGGTCTTGCACAAGTGCTCTACCACTGAAATACATTCCCAGTCCATCAAATTTTAAAAACATTTCCAAAGTACAATAAGAAGTTTTGGTTATAGAAATTACAGCTGAACTTATCTTTTTACTCTTTTTTTTTAACCTGTTGTTTTGCTTGTCTCTGATACTCCCCAAGGTTAGTCACACAACTTCTCTTCCCTATCACTTTCTTATACTTCTTGTATGGAAAGACTCTGGTTATCTTCTCTGAAATTAAGTAATTTTTAAAGAAGTGCACCTGACGATAATGCCTTCCAATGTATTTTGATGAACATTAGCGTTTGAAAGGTTTTTTGAAATTATATGTAATTTGAATTTTAGGACAGCAAAAGGATATTAACAAATATCTCATATAAAAAGGACAGACTTCAGAAGGGTTGACTATCCACTCTAAATCAGACCCTCAGACACTGTCTCACACATCACCCTACTATAGCCTTTTATCACAGATCAGTTTTGTTGCTTATTTCCTTTCATCCATTCTACATACACCAGAAGGAAGGCCCCACGAAGGTGGGAATACCATGCTCATCTTGTCCACCACAATGTCAAAGGAAGCAGGACCACACCTGGCATGAGACTGAGTGAACTTTGAGAACTTATTAGGTGCAAGGCTCTGTGCCAAGTATTAGGGATACAGTGGTGAGCATGGATTATACATTAAGTAAATAACTGTGCAAGTAAACACTAAATTACCATTACAATAAGGATTATGACAAAGTAATAGATGGGGTCATGTTAAAATCTCTAACAAAAACAGGACCTTAGGAAATGCTTCACTAAGGAAAGAGATTAAGACTTGGGCATCATAGTCAGGGTCACAGAGATCATCTTAAGATGTGAATACCAGATGAGCCCTTGCGTAGCGCCAAGCTGCTGCACAAAGCACACTTGCAAATTGATGGGGTGACACATAAGGCAAGGCACAGGAGAAGAGAGCTCAGGGCCGCACCGCCCAGTGCGGGGTAGGAACCATTCTTGGCTCTTAAGCACCGGCTGGTGGTCTGTGGCTCATCCAATCCGAAGCGCGGAGAAATGTAAAATGCCATCCAGATTTCAAAGACTTGGAATGATACACAGCTCAGTCATTTTTATATTGATTATATAGTGAAATGATATTTTGGATGTATTGGATTAAGTGGTATTAAAACTAATTTTACCTGTCTACTTTTTAAAATGAAATAACTAAAAATTTTAAATGACCTGTGAAGCTTGTATTAGCCATGATGCTACTGGACAGTGCCAGAGAAGGCAAGTAAAGTAAAAAAGGACTCAGAAGCACCAAGCCGGCCTGGACCTATGTGGGTCACTGTGGAAAGTGACTGGCGGTTGTAGGCAAGGAAAGTCTGGGTGGAGTAAGTTGAAGGAGAATGGGAAGAACTGTAGGCAGTGCAATTAAACAGTCTGTCAAGAAAAATCTGCAATACTGCAAAGAGTTAAAGCAGGAAGTATGTGGAGAGGGAGAGAAAAAGGGGAATGGGAGTGAGAAAGGGCATTTTTAGGATGAAATTATCTATTTTTCTATGCTGAAAGGAATGGCTCAATGCATTGGAAATGTTGGTTGATGCAAATCAGAAGGAGAAAATGAAAGAATGACGGGATCAGCAAGCTGGACAAGAGCCACTGCACGTGCTGAGGGTTGGTCTTAGCCACAAGGCAGGGCACAAGGAGACAAGGAGCATGATGTGCCAGCAGAGAGGCAAGCAGAAGGACATCTGCTGTGGGCTGAGAGATTCTGCAGGACTGCTCCTGCCTTACCTTCTACTCTACACAGCTGGAAATAGTTCTTACTTCACACACACAGAGATGCTCAGAGCCAAGTAGAAAACACACACATTTCTCATGGAATGCTTACAAAAATCAATTATTTGCTTGGCCA